GGGTTCCTCAAAAAAAAATCTTTAAAATCAAATTTAAAATGGATTTTAAAATAAATCCACATAAGGCCAATTATTTTATTGTCTCTAATGCAAAGGTCATTTCCAAACATCTACTCACCAACAGATGTTGTTTTATCACAGCCCAGCATCTCAGACCCATTTAACCTCTCCAGGGAAAGTGCAGGAAGTCCCAAGAAAGTTCGTTGCACACATGTTGGAGCACTCTTGGCTTTTCTAGTAATGTTCATAAGGTTCTTTGTTTCATAAATACTAGCATACCACTACTTCCTTCATTTAGTTCAATTCAGGGAACCTCATGTTTGTATTTATGTTTACTTTTTAAAATTTCCAGACTTACTATGTTATACAAAACACACAGGCTATAGGAGTGGATGAAATAAGGAAGACCTCAGTGTCCAAAAAAAGGGATAGAGTTAGGTTTCCAAGGAGAGAAAAAATGTTTTCTGAATAATTCAATGACTGAAAAAGTTTGGGAACTGCTGCTTTTTACAACATGAAGACAAGATGTGAAACCTATGTATCTAGGTCTGTATTGCACAGCATAACATAATACCACACAGAACCACATTATAATTTAATATTCAACATCCAGACTTATTGTTGAGCTGCTACCGCTCTGCTGCAGTCAATCCATGACTGGTGGAGAGGAGTGGGAGATTAAAGAAGTACATCACTTTGTCCCTATAGCAGAAGATACACAAGTGTCCTCCAGAGGCCTCATTGGAAGATGTATTCACTCTGCATCTGGCAGCAGGGACATAGTTAGATGCTTCTCTGATCCATCCCATTTTCCATCAGCCACTCGTACTACAGTGGCTCAACAATAAGCCCAGGGGAGGGTGTGGATCACCGAGGAAGGTGAGAAGGAATATCAGTCTTCATAGTGACAAGAGGGTGAGTGAAAGTAACACAATGCCATATGATGGAGTCCTAGTAGAGCTATTTTTTCTTATTTGCCAACCGATACAGATGACTGCTTTCCTGTATCACAGTTGAACAGTTTTTTTCCAGTGGTTAGCTAGGATGATAAAAGTCAAAAGAGACCACCCTGAAAACAAAAGACATGGCAAGAGTCTCTGCTGAGTTTAAGGAAAAGCGCCTCCTTCACTTTAGATCTCCACTTCAGAGGTGACAGTGAGCAAAGATGTGAAACCTATATATCTAAATATACTTTTTTCAATGCCATCATGCACCATAGGCTTTCAAAAAGGAAGGAATATTTCCTTCCCTCCCTCTCCTTGCCCCTTTCCTTTTCCCCCCAAACAAAGGTTTTCAACAGCCGATTCATGTTACAAGTTCATGTAATGTTTTCATTAATTGGTTGGTTGATGAAAATAATTAACATCCCACTTTTCCACCCCAAAGGGTACTCAAGGCAACTCTCAACAACATAACTACCACTAATTGTAGTTGTCATTCAATAATTTAACATGCGAAAATCTCAGCAACTATGTTTTCGATCATCGTGAACGATTGCTTCTTGACATATCAACTCCAACTTTGAAAGGGATAATCCCTACATATGTTGGGTGCCACTTAAAATGCATGCTTAAATTCATTCAGAGGTACACTGAAATAATGTTTCCATTAAACTGCCTAAGAGTGAGTCCTTTAACAACTACACACACACACAAACACACACTAAGATATATGATACAAGCCAAACATAGACATTGTCAACACATTCAGAGATAAGTGTAGAACTTCAACTTATACAAGCTGCTTACTTGAAGCTTACACTGGCGGCTTTAACAATTCTGTCATTTATATCATTGCTATAAGTGCCAAAGTAACACACTTGCTAAGCTGACACCACTGCTCTATTTCAGAGTCCCCTATACATTCGGATGTGCACATGGAACTTCTTCACATTTTTCCCTTTGACATCACTGTATCGGTTTCATAAATGAAAGTGTACACAGAGCTATCACAAAGCCGCCCTGAGTTCCTTTGGGGAGAGAGGGCAAGTTAAAAATAAAGATTATGACGATGACGACCATGATGATGATGATGATGATGATTATTATTATTATTACTACTACCTGTGATGGCATGCCTGAGTCTTTGGTAAAGCTATATTGTCAGGCTTTATTCAGGGGTTATCTGTATACCTTCTGTTAAGATTAAGACCCTTAGCAGACAGAGTCACTTTGAGGCAAGGTGAAAAGATAACCAAATGAGTTTACTGAAACAAGATGAATAAAGGGTTAACTCCACCCAGTACTATCATAAGGTAACTTAAAACAATACATTACAAAAGGAGAATTTGCTGGCTGCAGTCATCTCTCTGGAATCTTTTGCCTCTGATGCAAAGTGATGAATTATAAGTTGTTGCTCACAAACTGTCTTAATCTCCTGTGAAGCTTAGGCTGCCCAAAAGCTTCTGTTGTCCTTTGGATTGTTGGTATAATAATACTGCTAAATACAAGTGCTAAGAATGCCTGTTTGAATTGCTTGGGCCTAGAATTACCAGACAGTCCCAAGCCTAAGTCACAGTAGCTCTGCTGTAGAAAGAGGAGGAGTCCAGCAAGAGCTCTATACAAGGAAATGGAATAGACCAACTAAGACTGGCCTCTGGAGGGATTTTAAGCTCCACCCAAAAACTAATTCAAAGGAAGGTCTCTACACTATTAGGAAGACCTATAAACAGGGGGAACTAAAGCAGAGGAGAGGAGAAGGCATAGCCAAGGCTTCACATCACCTTTATTAAACAAAAGATGGGCACACTCGTGGGTTCAGTGTGGGTTGTATATACATCATGGTGCCATACAAATGATCCCTGGTGTCCCATAAGTGATCACTAAATTCTATGCAAGACTTCAGTATCAGGCACTTCAATTTACAGAAAGCTAAAAATTCTTAAAATTGTCAAGGTTACTTTTGCAGAATTTTTCCTGGACACAATCCCATCACATTCAGCTTAGTACATTGCAGTAGAGCAGCAGAAGTGGATGACCCCTATTAAACCTTCTGCCTGTAAAGCTCCTGCTGAAAACACCTAAGGTAAAAGCTGACATTAGTACTGATCATGAAGTGACAACAAAGAATGTTTCAAGATGCACACGTGCAAAGTTTATTACATCACCATCATAAAACGGTAATCTGAACAACCCAGACATCTCGACCTACATTAAAGTAACCAGACTCATTATAGTGGTACCTATATATCTCACCCCTAAGTAGTTATTTAGAAGTAAACGTCTTTCATACCTTGGAATATATGGAATGGAATGTGGCTTCACTTGATTGAAAGTGTAGATCAACTTCTGAGCTGCCCTTTGCTGTTGTATTTCCTAATAAGACAAACACGGTGTGAATAGTGATATAGCATTTTTCATAGAAATAGTAAAACTTTCCACTAAAGATTAGTTGCCTCAACAGTCCTGTAAGGATAGGCTTGTATTTTGTTTCCTAACTATTACCATTTTTAAAAATGCAGTGAGAAATTGAGCCCTGACGAAGGCTACCCAAGGAGTCTTTTTATGGCCATGGTAAGAAATGAATGTGCTTAAACTTCCAGCTCAAAAATCTTGCTTAAATTTAGATACTATTATAACTTACATGGGGCAAACAGGATATGAAGAAAAGATGTAATTGTCTAATTTGTCAAACAAAAAGTAAACTGTCTTTTTTATATTGTAAGATTTATTTTCTCTTTGACCACTTCAATTTCTCCCACAAAGAACTGAAGAAATGTCTTTGATATGCCTTTTTTCCAAAATATAATGGCCACTGAAAAATATGGGTAGCTGGCAAGTCCTAATTTTACAGGTCAGCAGCCATGTTGTAAACTGGAGCAAATTACAGGGAGCGGTCAACACCCCCCCCCCTTCAAACCGATCCACTGGCTGCCAATTAATTTCTGGTCCCAATTCAAGGTACAGGTTGTTACCTATAAAGTCCTAAACGATTCGGGACACTTTACTATTGTTCTGCACCCGAAGTTATAATGCTCTATCTTACATTGCCCTCTATCTACTGTTGCCATGTGACTTGCACAATTTATCCATCAGCCCTATCCTCACAACTGATTTGCACTAGTCTGCCGACCTGTGCCCATAAGTTGATCATAATTGCAGGTTTATTGGTTTGATGCTTGCTCTTATATTTTGTTAGAATGTTGTTGCTTTATTCTGTTGTTTATGTATTTTAATGTGTTATATTTTAACTATGTTGATTAGGCTCATTCCCATGTAAGCCACCCTGAGTCCCTCCGGGGGGGACGGAGGCAGGGTACAAAAATAAAGTTGTTGTTGTTGTTACTATTATTATTACTATTATTATTTGAAACACAACGAGTCCACAGCAGACAAGATCACTCTGCTGGCTGTTGTATTGAATCACACGTCAGACACTTCCCAAGTAATTATAATTACAATAATTATTATTTAGTGTCATTTTCTGTTGATCTCACCTTTGTCCACCTCACCCAACTGACATCCAAAACTGTGGTACAGCTAAAAGGGAACTCAATTCCTTAAACATATTCTTTTCACATTTGGGCTTCCTCGGATAGCCAAGTATTTAATTTCAGTGCCGCGTGGGGTCATTATGAATTCCTGATCAGGTTATACTCACCCTGAGGCAGAGATGGAGCACCGTGCCTTCATGGAAGACCTTTTGCCAAGCCTGAACTACCTCAGGAAGAAAAGACTTTACAATGAAGACCTGGCCTTGCTTGAGCACAGCATTCTCAGACCAGGTGCACATCACCTTCATAGCCTTCCGCAGGCCTCCGTCCATCTCCTCCCGAGACAAAACCTGGATCATCGCAGCCATGCCACGCTGTGACCAGGAAGACATGCTCTTATCAAGGTTCAAAGGTGAACTTTCTTCTAATCGATAGACTGACACTTCTTCTCCAGCTATGATCAAAGCAAATGGGACACATTGTTGAGAAAGAATGCTGTTATATTGACTAGCAGAAAACCAATATCCTGTGCCAAGTTTGCATTATGAAAGCAATGTATTTACAAATCAATTATTTCTAGGCACTGCAGCAAAGTGAAATTTAATGTACATGCAAGCCTTATTATCACAAATAGAGCAATGCAGTCCTAAGAATGCAATGACTGTTAAGAAGTGGAGGTATCTTCAGGTATACATGAACAACACAGAACAAAAAGGTACTCACAAAAAAGCTGCACGGGTGTAAAAGGTATTGTTTGTGCCAGTCTCATTAAATTGTTTCTTTCCACCGCTGAAAAGAAAAAGACATATGTGTCATATGATTTATTCGTATTTTCTCTCCAAAAACACTTGGTTATAATTGTCAAAATGTATGTGTTGACAAGCTCTTGAAATGCTATATATATCCATGTTAGAGCAGTACTTATAGGTTTTCTACATATCAGCTCTCTTGTTCACACAAACATAGACCTTCCCTTTCAGATGAGAGACTGCCATTTAGAATTCACCATTCCATGAGTGGGTTTAAAAAAAAAATCAGGGCTTGGTTAATGAAAGGCTGGGAAGGAACTCAGCTCCAACACAGTTACACTGTTTTGAATGCACATGAGATTGTCATGGCATTCATAGTCACATCTAATTCCTTGTAAGGGTATTTCATTTCTCCTGATATATTAATTTTGCTCAGGTAGTAGGTAAAGGTTTCCCTTGACATTAAGTCTAGTCGTGTCTGACTCTGGAGGTTGGTGCTCAATGCAGAAGGTCTATTCATTTCCATTTCTAAGCCAAAGAGCCGGCGTTATCCATAGACGCCCCCAAGTTCATGTGGATGGCATGAATGCATGGAGCGCCATTACCTTCCTGCTGGAGTGGTACCTATTGATCTATTCACATTTTCATGGTTCCAAACTGCTCAGTTGGCAGACGCTGTGGCTGACAGCGGAAGCTCATGCCACTCCCAAGTTTTGAACCTGCAACCTTTTGGTCAGCAAGTTCAGCAGCTCAGCGTTTAATCCACTCTGCCACCGGGGGGGGGGGGGGCTCCCTAAACTATCAAGTCCTAACTGCTGCTCAATGCAGAAGGTCTATTCTCTGTTTGATTGTCCAATCTTTTTCAATTTACAGTATCATCACTGAATAATGTAGGGGTGGGAGAGGGAAATTATCCAATATTTACTTCAGAGATGCCACCCCTTTAGAATTTGATGTAATTTTTTTATTGAACAAAGTTTGCAAAAGCAGCTGTGAGATTCTACAGTTAGCTTCTAAATTCTAAAAAAAGGAAATAAAGGAAGTGTGGACTCTAAGGACATCTGCTGGCAAGTTCTGCACATTTCACAATCCTCCAAAAGTGGAAAGGAACAGATTAATAGCATTCTACCTATCATAGTACATATAGAACTGAATGAAGCTGTGAAAGGCTGAATGTCTGACCTGCTCATTAATCAATTTTGGTTAGATACTATGGTTTGTGCATGAAACAATGTTACATTGAATCTTGTGAACTTGTGGTGGTCCATGTGTTCCGTCCCGTTCTTTCCTCCTTTAAACTTTAACTAGAACAATCTGGCAGAATGTATTATTGAAGGCTTTCATGGCCAGAATCACTCAGTTGCTGTGAGTTTTCTGGGCTGTATGGCCATGTTCCTGGAACATTCTCTCCTGATGTTTCACCCACATCTATGAAAGGCATCTTCAGAGGTTTTGAGGTCTTTTGGAAACTAGGCAAGGGAGGTTTATATATCTGTAGAATGTTCAGGATGGGATAGTCTTGTCTGCTTGAGGGAAGTGTGAATGTTGCAATCTGGCACCTTGATTAGCATTTAATGACCTTGCAGCTTCAAAGCCTGACTGGTTGCTGGGCCTATAGCAATTGGCTTTTGAACAGGATGTGCTCTTTGTGCCCAGCGGGAAACCAGGTGCCTCAGCTGAGAGGCTGTAAGGATTTTCCTATACAAAAGTCTTCAGAAGCTTGAAAAGTTTAACAAAGTCCTTTATTATTGCTTAGGTCTTCAACAAAACAATCAAATACTTCTCAGATCTTCAACAGGTCAAGCAAATACTTAAAGACTTTGAATCAACTGGTGGCTTTCCTAATCTTGTCCACAAGGGACAGGCAACTGGCTTTGTGAACTGTTTCTTTAACTGTTTCTTTTCTTTAAGAGGAAAAATCTTTTTAACCCCTCCTTGGGCAATCTGTATTTAGGCTTTGCTGGCGTGGGGCCCCTACACCCGGTTCCAATTCGCGTTATGGCTGCCGCGAGAGATCCTTACCAGGCCAAAGTCTCTGTGTAGATTCTCCAGCTGGAATCCTTTGGAACTGTTTTACCCCGGAATTTCGTAAGAAACTAAGCTTCTCTACAGGTGGAGCTGATTCACGTCTTGTAGCTAAGCTTTTAACTGTAAGACTGAGCTCAAATGGTCCCCTTTTCTTCCTGAACCCTGAGGAAAGAGGCGGAACTAAAAACACCCAACGATGATAGGCAGGTGGCTGCAAACCAAAGGAAGCCACCTTATTGCAAAATGCATGGAACTTTGGAATACATGCAAACACACAAAGAAAGAAAAGGAAGTTGGAGCTCCTGGTACAGCCGTACCAGCACAAGTACTTTAAAAAAATGTTCCAAATCTTTACCCTAACTGTCTCTTTTAGTAGTCAGATGGAGCCCCCGGTGGCACAGTGGGTTAAACCCTTGTGCCAGCAGGACTGAAGACTGACAGGTTGCAGGTTTGAAACCGGGGAGAGTGCAGATGAGCTCCCTCTATGGGGACATGAGAGAAGCCTCCCACAAGGATGGTAAAACATCAAAACATCCAGGCATCCCCTGGGCAACATCCTTGTAGACAGCCAATTCTCTCACACCAGAAGTGACTTGCAGTTTCTCAAGTCACTCCTGACACTAATTTTAAAAATATAGTCAGATATGGCATGGCACACAAGGTTTCTCCTTCCTCACTGCTTCCAACACAAGATGAAAGAAAGGAAGGCATATTCAGGGGCTTGATGAAAAGTATGGCTTTATATGATTAGGAACTGGAGCCAATGATCTTCCGATCTCTTTCAACTACCATGTACCTAGAGATTTATAGGGGGTGGGGGGAGAACCAACTGGCAGAAAGCACTTAAAAGCTAGATAGAAAAAAAGAATACATTGTATTTTCACACAAGTAGGAGGTGATAAACTATTAGCACACTCTTGTTTGTGGATTTCCTTGGAATCCTGTCATTTCTTAGTGTTGTCTTTACTTGTGAATCCATCATGTAACCCTTTTCAGTATTTTTTTTCTTTCCAAACTTATTTTGCCAATAACTACTTGATATGCGGAAGCCAATGCTAAAATAATAAATAATCTTAATCTTCCCAGGCTTCTGTGTTATGAATAATCTTTATATACTGCTCACGATAAAGAGCTACTTCAAAGTGAGAATATCAGAAAATGACAGGGGGAAAGAATTAATATGCTTATCGACTAATGCAGGGGCTCAGCTACCATTTAGATACTCACGACTTACCTGAGTAATGATGGTGCAGATCTTGAAGGGGTTTTAAGGACAATGAGATTGCTGGAGGAATGAAAAAAAGATTATTTAAATAAGGGAAGAGAGGCAAATGTGCCAATCGCAGGTGCCGTACATTCGAAACTGATGAAATAAAGCAGCTAACTTAGCCTTTTATGGAGGTGGATTACGTTAACTGTGCTATAAAGTTCAAAATATGGCCTGTGTAAATGATCAGTAAAAGAAAACCAATTATACAGCGGACTGCAAAACAACAGCAATATTCAAGTCAAGGACACTAATTTTCCCCAAAGCTGAAGAGACAGTAATTGTAGTTCAGGGATGGTAAAAACTTAAAAGCCCGTTTACTGCCCACTATGCTTCAAGGGATCTCAGAGGCCTGATTTTCTTAAATCTATCCCTAGTCATTATGCATCCCATTAACTACATTATGACACTGATGTTGGAGCAATACTGGTTCATTAACCCATGGCATCTAGAAACAATCAAATAATAGAAAAGGAAAACTAATTTAAAGAGGCACTTACAAAGTGATTCAGAATCTGTGCTGCACAAAATCAGGCTCTGTTCTTACTAGAGACAGATGCTCAATTCAAATATTATGTCAAAGTATACTTAAGGTTAAGTGTGGTTTAGAATGATTTAGATTAAATCAACAAATTATGGCTTCAAACAGGTTTATAAATCATAACTTGTGCTTTAGCAATCATCTGGCATGATTGCTATGGATTCACAAACCAGAAACCCCTGTGATAGGATCTTAGGAGCACCATAGGTTGGATACAATAACAACAATCACCTCAATGTACTAGGGAGGGAAGGAGGAATGGGACATGCTCCCCACTCACCCCTGCCTCTTCTTCTTAAAGGCACAGAACACATTTGTACTTTCCTTCTATTATTATTATTATTATTATTAGGCCATAAAACTTATTCTATTATTCTATTCTATTATTCTTCTATTATCATTCAATTCTATTATTCTATTAATATATTTTATATTATTATATTCTATTATTGGAGCCCACAGTGATGCAATGGATTAAACCCTTTTGCTGGCAGGATTGTTGACTGAAAGGTCTGCGGTTCGAGTCTGGGGAGTGGGGTAAGTTCCTGCCTGTCAGCTCTGGCTTCTCAAGAGGAGACATGAGAGAAGCCTCCCATAGGGTGGTAAAACATCTGGGTGTCCCCTGGGCAATGTCTTTGCAGATGGCCAATTCACTCACACCAGAAGTGACTTGCAGTTTCTTAAGTTGCCCCTGACAAAAAAAGGTGGATAGCTGCATGCAAGTAAATGTTTCCATAATAAAAAAAAATGTGTGAGAGGCATCTACACTACAAGAGGCAACATGCCAGGCAGATGGAAAACTCCATGTAGAAAAGAAGGTATATGATATACAGCGTTTGAGTGGAAGGTCTCTTAAGACCCATAGGTCTTCAGAATTAACATAATCAGTAACTTTGGGGAGTTGTGGTGCCAATAAAACACTATATTTTTCAAGCTCTAGTTATAAACCATAGTTACAAAATGATGGTTCAGGGTAGCAATTAAACTGACCACAGGGAATATATTCCTAGCATTCTCCAAGTTACCGATAGAAGTGACTTACAACATTTTTGTCTGCAAATTTAAGCACAGTCTTTCTCCAGAATAAAACATCTGAAGCAAAGTAGCTCAGAATGAGAAATTAATGCTACCTACTTTCTCTCTCTCTCTTTAAACATCGATTTGGCAGTTTTCTTTGTTGCTACTATCACTGCTGAGTATGTCTCCAAAAGACACATGAAACATGTCATACTACGCACATAGAAGCAGAAACACTATTATTCAGAGTTAGATATAAGCAAAGCAGATTTTCAAACTGGATTTAATGCTGCTCTTTTTCTCTCTTTTCTTTTTTCATTTCTAATATAAAGAAAAAAAATTCATCCCCTAATCTTGTTTTTTAAAAAAATCATACAAACAAATGTATTAAAATATTAACAGGCACTTAATATAGAAAGGTTTGTAAATTGGTAAATGGGCATTAATATATTTTTTAAGACTGATTTCTTCTCTATCATGCATTTCACTGTTAAATGTACGGTTAAGAGTAAAAGGTACAAGTAGAAGCTTACTGTCCATTCCATCTGAACTTTTCAACCTGTTCAAAATCAAATAAAAACATTAGTTTCATGGTTTTGGCTTGAAGAAAAATAATCATATAAGTTTGAAGGCACTGGGAAAACTACAAAAACATCTTTATTTTGCAAACAGCAAAAATGTATGTGTTGCATTAATACATTCATCTAGATTTCTTGATTATTCTCACCTTATCGGATGGGCTTCCTGGCACATCATACACTGCTTGTTTCATCTTTCAGGATGGAGCCTGTTACACAACACACATGTACTTCCAGCTGGGCTCATACAAAAAGGGGAGAGTCACAGGAACACATGACCCTTCCCATATTGCCTTACCTGCAATGTGGGAAGCTGAGTGGTGAGGCATGCCCCCCCCCAATGAGGATCACAGTTAGTCGCACAATGTGGGGCATGGAACAACATGTTCTCCACACACACACACACCCTCATGGATTCACCACAATGCGTGGTAAATCCATGGGCTTTTGTGATGAGGTCTATAAATGTATATTTTGCACCTTTTATGTATTTCTTATTTATTACATGCTTTAAACTGTACTGTGCAGCTTAGGTTTGGTTGATCCAAAAAAAAAAAAAAAGGTTCAAAACTCGTTTCAGATATAGGGGGCACTGGTGGTTCGATTCTAAAGTCACTTCCAATTTTTTTTAGAAAAAAAATTGAAACTTCCAAAACTTCCAAATCACGTCGTTAATGGCAGACACGTATGTGTAGTAGGGAAATAAACAGCACTGGCACTGGGGAAAATTCAGGGGATTTGCCCGCTCTCATTTTTAGACCAATCCTGATGAAACTTGCTACAGTAGTAGAACACATGGGCCACTGTTAGCTCACCAAATTTCATAACCTTTGATGTATCCATGGATTTTTTGCAAATTTTCCAAGTTTTTATTAAAAAACCAACTTTTTTTAATAAAAAAGAAAATCTGTTCTAGTTTGAAAGTGTTATTTCCTGTTTCATTGGGTGGTATTTACTTTGAAAGTAGTTGTTCTTCTCCAGAAACTTTGTTTGTGTGGCACAAATTGTGTTAAATTGGTGGAGAACAGAAATCATAGTACAGATCCTATCAAAGGAAATCCAGACTGACCCCCTTCTTCTGGGCAGAAAGGCACCATTATACTAAAATTAACAATTTAACACACACATTATCTATTTTTCTGTTACAGTTATTCAGATAGCTTTTCTATAGCTAGAATTTATTAACGCTATTTTTCAATCCAGTTGGCTCATGTTTTCCCCAAATTTGGCAAAATACAGATTGAGGCAAGCACCTCATATTTAACAATACATTCTTTAAATATGATTTTCCAAGGCCTTTCTCCATCTTGATCTCAGCCTCTTCCCTCATAGATTGTCAATAAATCCCAAGCTCAATCAATATTAGCAGTGGTCTGGGAACTCTGGTTGTGGTGCCAAATCTGATCCTCCAGAAGTACTAACCCTTAGTATGCCACACTCCCTTCCCAATGATACCATCTTCTGGAGGGTTCCTGATGTTTGACCATTTCTTCCATTCCATTCCATTATTTAATTTTGCTTTTGGCCCTTCTTGCTATGGGAATGAAGTCACTGAGAATTTCCCACCCATCATGAAGTTGGATGAATATCTTAGTTAGGTCATGAGATAAAGATGGCTATAGGGGACATGCTTTCCTGTTACTGGTTGCCTGTGTTATCTGTCTTAAAAACAATCAAAGAAAGCCATACATGGTATACAAACAAGACTACTTACGAATGGCTTCTACTCAAATTATTCATCCTGTTTTTCCTGGTCCAAGTCATGCTGTTATTTAAATCCTGAAAAGGGGTATAAATAGAAAACTTTGTTGTTTTCTGTATACATTTTCTAAATGAAAGCACACCCTAAATTTATGATTGGACATTTCTCACTCATACTTATTGCTAACCTAAATGCCCACATTTTAAAAAAAAAACCTATGGAAATTGTATTCAATTGAAGCTCAACTCAACAGTGTTAAAACATGATATTATTGTTATTTTTTAATCATTCATATATCTATATCTATATCAATAGGAGGGAAGCACGGAATTATGTTTGTCCTAGTGATTCATTCTCCAATTTGGGTTACAATTCAACAGAAAAACTCTGAGGACTAAGCCCTATTGTGAATCCTGACTACAGTAGACACACTGAGTCAAGGGAATTTATTTATATGTTGAGTCACTATTCCACAAATGGTTGAAATGGGTGTACACAAATTGGGACTAATCAACATGATTTTGGCCATGGTTTGGTAACAGTTTTGTTGTACCAAAGAGCATTATGAATCACTGGCTCCTATTCTAAGTCAAATTTACTAACTTCTTGCAGGTACTCTCTATGAAAGGAATAGTTGTACTGACTGGATTTAGTCTCTACATGTTTGATTATTCTCTTCAGCATATGTCTGATTAAGTCCACAGAGAGCCAAACACCTTCATAAAATCTGATGGGAAGTATTTGAAATGTGAAAAAAACCTGAATATGGTAGAAAGTAGACACAACATGTATGTTTTTCATTCATTACATCCTTAATCACATGATTAATCAATACAGCACCAAAAGGAAGCAACCATTTTCCAACCCTTTGTTAATATTGCCTGAGTGCTTATGAATACTATATGCAGGGCTGGAATATTTTGCTAAAGTTGTGCATTTTACTAGGTGGGTGCAGTATTTTAATCAAACTTGAGTACACTGTATACTCAGCTCTGCTTTATCAGTAGACTACACTTGGTGTTCTGTATTCATGGATTCATTATCCACAGCTCAAAAATAACCCCTTCAAAAATATTAGAAAGCAAACCTTGATTTAGCCATTTTGTCTAAGCAATGTCATTTTACTATATCATTGTATATAATGGGACATGAGCATCTATAGATTTTGGTATCCATGGAGGACTTTGGAACCAAACCCCACTGGATACCAAGAGTCTACTGTATACATCTGTCCATACTGGTAATATATTAAAACCAATTTGAATTGTTCCTCCTGCTTTTTACTGAATCTCGAAAATTAGTTCACATGAGTATGAAAAAGTAAACATATACTGTAACAAAGATACATGTAGAATTTTTTCCTTAGCTCTTTGATAAATACAACTCATGAATGTGTTTAATCCCTAAACTACAAGAAACAATATCATCACCAAACAACCAAGAAGTTGGAATTTGTTTAAATGTATTAATATACAGTCAGCCTTACTCACTTTATTTTCCTAATGACTACAGTAAAGCTTTCCAAACATTTCATGTTGGTGACAAACCTTTTAGATATGCATCATTTCATGACACAGTAATTCAGTTTTACTAGCCAAGTGGAGGTTACACCAACCCTTTATAAGAGATATGGACACATACATAAAATCTAATAATGAAATGTGTGGGAACACAACATATGGTACCTCATGAAATCCTTTCATTTATATATATTTAAGAATATATTGTTTATTGTTTATTACACATAGATTTGTTATATTTGTATGATGCACCTACACACTGCAGCTGACACACTAACATGTCACAACACACAATTTGGAAAGCTCTGGCAAAGAAAATTACTTCATAAAACCCAAGTTTTTAAACTAGTCTCTTTAAATATATCCCCATTTCATGATTCAATTGCTTCTTACTATTATTTCCTGAACATTAAGTGGTAGTGACTTATTTCTTTCCCAGGATCTTCTGGAATTTCTCAGGCAAGTCTCTTCATCATATTCAGTTATGAATTCAGACTAGAGTTGCAAAGTAATCCAGTGGACTTAATTTACAGAATGTTAAAAGTGTATTTTCCAATACATTTTCCACCCTTACCTCTTGCGACTGTCTCAAGTAGTCACAAATCTGTACTGTGTGTCTCACTGTTTCTTGATTTTTCACTTCCTCATGAATACTACTGATATGATCCAAACCTAACCAAAGAAACAAGCAGAGAAAGCATATATATATTGCAATAAAAACACACATTTTTGCTAAAAAACCAAACAAATAAAAGTCTTATGCTAAGAAACCTGGATCTATTTCTGCATTCTGAGATACATAGCTGCCCCGAAGCCAATTCCAGCACAATAGCCATTCAAGAAGTAGCATATTTGAAGGGCTCTTGGAGGTCTTGGGAACTGGTGCCATTATACAAGCCCTTGAGGAGAAAAATAAAAACAGCTCTTGCTCCTCTTTCATTCTCTGTATGGGTAGTAACCATTTGCAACAATCACCCAAGTCACTGGGCTGAAATACATTTGGAGATTAAAAGAGGATGGCTTATGGTAATAGGAACAGGGTAGGCCAAATTCAGATTGCATCGGAAAACAGCAGAACTATTTTCCATTTTGCATTGGAGGAAAGCTGATCCCTTCACTTCTGAACACTCTGGAGAATTTACTTAGTTCCATTACTATGTTTCCTAACATTTTCTTTGAAATTTCCTGGTATGCTACCAAGCAGTAGTACAGTATTCTCAACAAGAGCAGATCTAAAACATATTGTACCACTCAAGTTCTGTTGCTCAAAAAGTAGATGGAAATCTGCCACTAAAGCTGAAATAAATTGGTTTTCCTATTCATAAAGCTATTCACATTATCCCACAAATGAAATGTAGTATCCTGGGGGCATGGGTGTGTGTCAAAATTAATGCTCAACATATGATATGTGATAACAAGTAAGTAGTACAGGCAGTCCCTGAGTTATAAACATCCAACTGACAAATGACTCATAGTTAAGAACAGGGGTGAGACAACAGAAAATGAGAGAAATCTACCCCTAGGAAGAAAAAATCATTCCTGAAAGAGTTACCATGAGGGAAAGGTGTCTCTACTGAAGCTTTCTCACCAATCCTTGTTTTCACAACAAACAAAATAGTTCAAAATCCAATTATCACAAAAAAATAACGTGAAATCTTCTGAACAAGGGAACAGACAGCAAAACAAACACCAGAGAGGTGTTATCCAAAGCTAGCTGTGTGTGTGTGTGTGTGTGTGTGTGTGCGGCAGAAGTTACACTTTAAAATGTTCCCTTTCCAACTTACAAATTCAACTTAAGAACAAACCTACAGAACCTCGCTTATTCGTAACTCGACGACTTTATACAGAGTTCAACTGTTAATATGCTACATATTGCCATGCAACTGTGGACAAGTCTACATAGTGACAACCAAACGCAGCACCCAAACACGAATCAAAGAACATGAAAGGCGCTGTAGACCGATCCAACCAGAGAAGTCTGCTATAGCAGAGCACTTGATTAACCAACCTGGACACAGCATATTATTTGAGAACAAAGAAATGCTGGACCACTCTAACAACCACCATGTCAGGCTATACAGAGAAGCCATTGAAATCCACAAGCGTGTGGACAATTTCAACAGAAAGGATGAAACCATGAAAATGAACAAAATCTTGCTACCAGTATTTTAAAAAAACTCTAAAATTAAGATAGTGAATAAAGAATAACATTCAGGAAACAGAGGGATTCCAGACATGAATCAATCAAGGTCAACTAACACCTCCCAACAAAGGATTTCCCCAGGCAGTAAACAGCCAGACATTGAAACTGAAAGGCTAATCAATGCTTATCAAGGTAGCCAATTTAAACGTTCAGAACTGCCTCATACAAACAAGAGTTCTTTCTTCCACCTTGAACATTACAGATATATAAACCCACTTGCATAGTTTCCAACATGCCTCACAATACCTGAGGATAAAGGCAGGTGAAACATCAGGAGAAAATAATAATGAAATATGGCCAAACAGCCTGTAAAACTCACAGCAACCCAGTGCTACATATTTGTTTGGAAGTTTGTTATAAACCAGTGGTGAGTCTACAAGCATGATCATGGGCAGTTCCCTGTTAGCTTCTTCCTCCAGCGTTTACAGTCACAAGAAATTTAACAATCTTTCTCTAGAAATTGTTCTTGTAAACTGAGGTCACCAATTATGGTTCTTGGCTACCGCAGCATACTCGTATTCCCTTAGGACTGCATACTTAGCTGACTGAAGTGAGACACAGCTGGCCAGTTGGTTCTGTGTTCCCGCTTATTTCCTAACGTTTGGATCTCCAGTGGCTCTGAACTGATTTGGGTACTCTGTGGACAACTGTCTACTGTGATCACCTGTACAGAGAAAAGAGAAATAAGTGTTCAGGATACAAATAACAGGACTTTCATTTTCACCTAACCCAAATGGAAATGTCCATTTTCCATAATGAGAACATCACAGAATTAATTGCAAATACCACATAAATCAAGCAAAATGTTAACAAAACAAAAACAAAATAAAAATAAAAATCCCACCATTTTTGTTGGAAATCAAGGCCAGTTTTTTTTAATTAACAATGAGATTAGTGAAATTCATGGATTCAGTATTAGCTTATGGACCAAACAGGGGGATTTGACGCCAAATAATCAGTGTGGGAAGGTGCTCTAGTTCACAGGCTACCCTTCTTCAGCAAACAAGAACAAAGTGAGAAAGCACTGCAGGGTTTACACAAGGCCCAGCTCTGCTGAAGAGTCAGGCATTTGAGCAAATATGAGATAGGTTATTGCAAGTTTGTAAAACAAGTTCTGCCGACAGATAGGGCAGTTAAAATTCAATTAAGCATACACTGCATTCTCATATTTTACAAAGTTGTGCCTTTTATGATTCATGTCTTATTATGGATGGCATGATTTTAATATGGAATTGAATGTTTTTAAATATTTCATATATGTTAATTTTAATTTATTTATTTTTTATTTTGGAATTGTGTGTGTTTTAAGACATTGAATAAGTGCCTCTGTGTAAGCCACCTTGAGTACCCTTCAGGGTAGAGAAAGGCAGGGTATAAATAGGGTAAATAAATATAAATAAATTTTAAATTTCCAAGCTGATCCATTTCCTCATATTCTTGAAGGTTAAGAAGATGGCCTTTACAGAGTCAAAGATCAGGACTAGCTACATCACACACACATCTAAGAGCAGTATTTAAAGAGCCTTTTAGATAGACCTTTTTGGCATAAGTGCAGAGGCGCCATTAGGCACAGCACTACTCACAGTTGTCCTGTGCTGTACCCTTATAGCACATTGAGTGCAATTCAACCTGGGAGTTTCATCTCCTGGCACTATCTCTTGTTCCATTTGGGATTGTTTCATTAAGAATTTTCATAGTAAAAGACAATTTTTTACCATGCCTCATTTTGCACAAGCGCTAGCCTGGTGTCACTACAGTTGTGTCTAAGAGATCCACTGCTAATGTTACCCCTGACTACTATTGCTGCCTAGTAGCACTTTGGCCCATGCCATTTGACTCCTCAGGAAAAACCTGTGTGATTTGGAAGACCTCACCAGCTGCACTGTTACTGTCAGCTTAGCTTCTTGCCCCACAGGAGCACACAATCCCACCACCACCACAGCAAGGTTAAGTATAACTCTGCTATACCTGGCCACACATAAAAGGATTGCATGACATTCTAATTTTGGTGGCACTTACTGGCACCTGAAGAGTTTTTTGTTTCTTTTTTAAAGACTTCCTTCCTTTGTATCCAGGTTTTGTTTTTGCCCACACTGTTCGACGTAACTCAGTAGACTTTGATAGCTCTGAAAATGAAAGCAAGAAGGGAAAAAGATTGACACTTATATGTCAAAGTAGTACTTAGAATTTCTAAAATACCCAAATGGACTTTCACATTTTACTCCCAGGTGAATGGGACATTTCAGTCCCCCAGGGTCACATTCTGTAACAGAATTAACAAAGAACTAGAACTATAAAGTAGGCAGTTTTACAAGACCCGAAGAGTTGTAAATAACATCACAGAATTTCAACCATCTGCCATGTACAGGTTGGTTGGCTTTATAGACAAAATTAGATTAAAATGATTAAAATACAGATATTGTGCTGATAAAGCCCCAGAATTGGAAGAGAGGACAATAACCAGCTCAGAGACAGTAGCTATGTTTCCTATGGGATTCTGGAAATGGTCATCCAAAAGAACAGCATTTCCCAGCTCTGAACTAGCCCACAAGTACAATCTGACTAAGCTGGATTCTATGACCCCTACACAGATACAGAACTCTCTTTTTTGGTGATAAGTACTCTTACAAAGTGTACTCCTTATTTCTGTATTTGCTTTAAACACATTCATATCCTATCTCAGGTAAAATTCAAGATAGATATCAACAATGAAAGACAAATATCTACAAAACAATATTTAATTTTAGATACCAAAACAACATTGAAATATTATTTTTAGAAAGATGGAAGGAAACACACAGGAGGAGACTGGAAGTTTAAGCCAGAAGAATGGCAATAAAATAATAGAAAACAGTGTCAACATTTTAAAAAGAAACACGCTATTGCCTTTTATTTTGTAGGCGTCCTCCATTTTCTCTGCATTCTGGGAGCGAAAGGCTTTGTTGAAAAAATAGTTTTTCCTAAGTGGATTGATCCAGAGTGATGTGCTGCTGTGGTGGAGTGGGAGGTGAGACTGGGAGCTGTCACTACTGTATCCTGACTTGTCAGAACTGGATTCTTTTATCTGCACATGATGAGGAGCAGAACTGGAGTTGGTGGGAGAGATGCATGACTGCTGTTTTGACTTGTTAAAAAAGCATTTATCTTCATCTTCCGAGAACCCCCAATTCACATAACCTCCTTCAGGCTCTTCCTGATCATTTTGAAAAGGTTGAGAGATTTCATGGGTGCTGCCAGACGTTTCTACAGCCATACAGTTTTCAGTGGGGTTCTCATCAACTATCTTGGTTGGCAAAAGTTCCAGTTCCTGACATTGAGTGATCTTTCTTTCCACCTCAACATCAACAATGTGTACATTTGGTTGGTCACACTGGTTTGAGGACTTAGCTTTCAGTCCACCGTCCTGGAGTTCATTCAGAGAACCTGAAAGGACCAAACTTAAGCCAGCATCTTCAGAGGTCTCTTGTTGACTAGAGGGAACCAGAAGAAACTGTCCAAATCTAAATGTGGATTTACTCTCTGAAGGAACCTCAGAGATGTGGGTATCACTTTTAGTCTCTTGTTCATCACGTTTGTCAATTGATTTGACCTCACTGTAATCTATGGCACCCAGAACACGATGGTGACTCCTTACCAAGTTTTTTTGCAGAGAAGGTGGCATGCTATAGTAATTGTACTTCTTGTCACTCACATTGTCCATGCTTCTCAAAACCTCTGAATGCATAGCATTGCTCCAACTATGGGGAAGCTTTGTGTAGGTGACACGCTTTTTATCCACAAGGAGGGCCTCTTCTACTTGCAAAGTGTCCACAGCTGAAATGACTTTCAAGGTATCAACAGTTAAAACCGAGAGGTCTTGTAAGTGTCCTAGTTGGCTGTCCAGGCCAAGCAAAGCATCTTTGATGAAAACCACTTTCTCATGCACCTCCTTCAACTGTGAAAACATGTCTTCAACTCTAGGGGGAAAGAACAAACATATAATACGAATTCACACATACACATTGTTTATTATATCAAGTGGGCACCTTGTGCAGCTCAAGATGTTGTTGAACTGCCACTCCTATCATCTCTCACTACTGGCTATGCTGACTAGGGCTCACAAGAGCTGCAGCCCAATAACATCTGAAGGACTACAGATCATCTGCCCCTTCCTAAGTGGATTGAATGAACAAAATGTATTCCTTTCACTTTCCAGTAAGGTCTTGGGTAATGCTAATCCATCCTTAAAACAATGAATTATACTATTGTATTTATTTGTACTAGGAACGTTCAGAAAGTTTAGCTTTCTCCAGAAGAACTACCAGTCTGAACAAGCACACATATGAACCATCACTTTTTTCTGAATTATAATCTAGAACCTATTTTGTATTATATTACAACATTTTCAACTGAGATGTCAGAGTTCTTATTTCCATACAACCCTCCTAGATCATCTATGGGTTGCAGTTAAAGCAATACTGTCAAGGGTATAGGTCTTCTACCTTTCAGCTGTAACTCGGATCCTTTCACTGTCACTGGAGTGAAAGCTTTCATTCTTCTCATGAAGGTACATTTCCACACATTGTTCTTCAAAGTCATGAAGTTTCTTTAACTCCTCATCACTCAGGTACAGCTCTGGAATAATGGCCATATGAACAATGTTTTAGACACATTAGTGCAGGCAGACAGAGCCAAGTATAAATGGCAAGTATGTATTAGCATCTAAAACATTAACAAAAAGAAGGGGGGAAACAAGGAAACAACATATGAAAGGGGAAGATTTCATCCTATCTTCCTGCACTGTAGTCCCAACCAAAAATATTCTCTCCCATCCCATTGATATTTGGCACCAGAAGAAAAACTACCACTAATGGTAGTGGTACCACAGCCATCATATCAGTGGTATTTTTATGAATGGGTGGCACTAAATTAGAGAATGCAAGCACATGCTCTGCTTCTGATATACACAAATATGTATTCACAGACTTTATCAAACCCTACATCCACATACCATTTGGAGTATGGAGTCAGGATGTCTTGAGTATCAGAAGGAAATATATATTGTCAAAGGCTTTCATAGCTGGAATCACTGGGTTGTATAACCATGTTCTAGAAGCATTCTCTCCTGACATTTCACCTGCATCTGTGTCAAGTTTCCTCAGAGGTTGTGAGGTTTCCAACAAACCTCACAGCTTCTGAGGATTCTTGCCACAGATGCAGGTGAAACATCAAGAGATAATGCTTCTAGAACATGGCCATACAACCCGAAAAACCTATAACAACCCAGGAAATAAAGAAATATATATAATCTCATCAGGTGCTGTGTCTGTTCATTAAGCAGAGAGGTGTAATTACTTTCATCAGTAATCTTAGCAACTGATGCTGGGTTGAAGAACAGCAAACTGTATATAATTTGTTACCACTGTATTTTAATTTGTTACCACTGTATTTTTACTAAAAGATACGGAGAGAGCTCTTTGTGGGATTTTCTGCCCCAAGTGTTAAAATGATTTGGCTGGCTTTGAGTGGTAATGGGGAGACATTTGCTATTTGAATATTGGCATAATATTCTCAACCATCATTGCGGAAATGTACAATACATCCCTTCTTGATCATTGGCATTGCGATCTACGCTATGGATTGTTGTCATAAGACTTTCAGAAGAACATTTTCCTTCACCCCAAACATCTTGCATCATTATTGTGTGTTTTCAAATCATTTTCAGACTTATGGCAACCCTATCATGATATTTTCTTAACAAGATTTGTTCAGAGGGGGTTGTCTATTGCATTTTTTGAGGGTGAGAGAATGAGACTTGCCCAAGGCCACTCAATGGGTTTTGCATCACTGAACAGGGATTCAAATCCTGGTCCCCAGTTGCAGTCCACTGCTCAAACCACTACACACACCATCTCTCTATGCATTGTAATAACTTAATAGTTCAGTTGGGCATTTTGCAATAGAGTTAAACATCAAAAGAAAAGAGAGAGTAAAGTTACCAAGGGAATATGAACACAGCAAATAGAAGACTTCCATTGTGAATGATTTTTAATGTTTCATCCTCCACAACACTAGAAACTTAAGAACTCAAGGAAGTTTTCATGGCTGGGGCAATTGTTATTATGGAACATTTACTTACACACAGCTACTCAGCTGAGAATTATTAAATCAAGCTTAATTTAGATAGTGTGGTTTTTTTTAATATACAGTGCATCTTTAATTATACTGGCCCAATAATTGAACAGATTGCTGTCACAGAACAAAGTACAGGCAGCCCCCAAGTTACAAACAAGGTAGGTTCTGTAGGTTTGTTCTTAAGTTGAATTTGTATGTAAGTCAGAACAGGTACATATTTTTTAGTCGAATTCCAGCCAAAAATATGTTTCTTAGCTTTGGATTACACAGATAAGGGTTAACATCCCTGTGGTGTTTTGTCTTTTTCTTTGCTGTCTGTGCCCTTTTAGAAGAATTCACCTCACTTTCTGTTCCAGTGACCATTGGATGTTGAAACATTTGGCTAGTTGTGGAAACTTCAGTGGAGACACCTTTTCCTTGTGATAACTCTTTCAGGAGTGAATTTTCCTTCTTAGGGGTAAATTTCCCTCACTTCCTGTTGTTTCATCCCCATTCTTAATTATGAGTCATTTATAATTTGATTGTTTGTAACTCCTGGACTTCGTGTATATGATATCAGGAATAGCCCAGTCAATTCAAGTAAGTATTTGCAGCTATCTTCCACTTGGTGGTGCTATGCTCTTACATCTTACCACTTGTACCTAGATAGTTCCAGAAAATCCTATTACTGCTGAATGCAAACTGACTGCTTTAAGTAAATGGAACAGACCTGACTTTCAGAGATAATACATCAAATTAAGATACCATGTTGGTGAACTTTGCATTTGGTAATTTGATATACAGTTTTGGTCCTTGTGTAAGGAAGATTGCTTACTCAGTTCAACATGACCCTCTTCTTGATCCAGTTCACTTGGCAACCGATGGTGGTGATGGCAGAGACAATTTATGAGGATGCCAATGTGGTTGAGAATGATGAAAGGGGGTGGCAGCCATGGTTTTTCATGATACATCATGATATAGCGGTAACGGTTGTATTTCCAGAGTTTGTCCGATATGGACTTCATGTCAAAATAAACATTACTACAGATGCGGGGAGAAAGAAGAGGAAGATTAAGATTCCCATAACACTATCTTATATCTCCTTAACAAGATATCTCTTGCCATGTGTGGTCTGTCATTAAGTGAATGTAGTGGAGGTAAGATAACAACAAACAATGCAACAACAAAAATGCACAACAAAAATGCAAAGGCACAGTAAAATGCTGCAAATCTCATTTGAAGTTTTGGACTTCTACTTCCTACTAGATAGAATTTTCCCCCCAGAAAGATTTTACTAAGAAAACATGCTACACATAAAATTAGTCACTTGTTGTCCAATCAAGATGTGGCTGGGCAACTGCAACATGTTCCTAGGACTTGGAGAAAATTTATTATATTTATTATATTTGTTTATATCCCGCTTTATCTCCCCAAAGGGGACTCAAAGCGGCTTGACATAAAAGTATAAAAGGCTGTGTGACTGACACATAAAAACACAATCTTTTTATATTTCTTCACTTTATGTCATATAACAAACTCAGACATATAGTTCAATAATCTAGATTAGAAATGGACAATTAAGGCCCTCCCAATTTTGCCACCAACACTGCAACTCCCATCAGAGAACTAGCCAATGGTGAGGGAGGGATCATGAGAGTTGCAGTCCCCACCTAAAGGTTTCCTTTTGTCCATAGCTGAATATAATTTTGTCCAAGTTGTATCCAATTTGTTTTTTAAAGTATCCAAATTCTATGCAGATAAGTAAGAATCTTCGCAGTGGATATGGGAGCTTATATCATTTGTAAGAGAGGCCCAGATGGAATCTACTATACGTACCAAAATGCACCCTTGGTGCATTGTACACTGTTTTTGCTGTTTTTATTATCTTCTATCTCTAAAAGGTTCACTTTTATCTCTCTAAATTATCTAGACTGAGTTACTTCAATATAATTCAGTCTATATTAATATTATCAGTAACATCAACTGAAATGTCTTATACACTTACTTGAAGAAAGCAATCAGCAGATTGACCATGATGATATACTGTACAAAGAGGTAGACAGCTTGAAGAAAAGGTGTAAGAAAGGAACCTGGAGGACAGTCTGGGTTTGATTCACAAGCTATACATTTGAAAAGAAAGAAAAGTATATGTAAAAAGTGGTATAGGAATAGAAAGCTAATCAATTGTGTAGCCTCCATTCATAGGTTAAGAACTCCAGCAAAACTTAAAAGAAGAATAAAGCTTCATTTACCTTTTATGCTAATGAGAATAGCAATGAATGTAACATCTCTAGCAATTTGAAATGATTTCTTATATTCAGATCTATATCCAATAATGAAAGGGAATTTATATTGTTGCAGTTTAAAGACATACCAACATCATCATCATCATCTAAGGTCCATAGACCCATCAGTTTTATTAAAGACATACAGCAGAGTCTCACTTATCGAACATAAATGGGCAGACAGTACGCTGGATAAGCGAAAATACTGGATAATAAGGAGGGATTAAGGAAAAGCCTATTAAACGTCAAATTACATTATGATTTTACAAATTAAGCAACAAAACATCATATTTTACAACAATTTGACAGAAAAGGCAGTTCAATACGCGATAATGTTATGTACTAATTACTGTATTTACAAATTTCGCACCAAAACATCGCAATGTATTGAAACAGCTGTAGATCCATGCAGGAGGCACACTGCATTGGATAATACAGAACGTTGGATGAGCGAAGGTTGGATAAGTGAGACTGTACTGTTTCAGTAAAATATTTGAGTTCATTGCAAAACACATATGATTCAAAAATGGTTTAAAAGCGAAAAAAACTGAAAGTCTGCTGTGAGATATATATTATATTATATTATATTATATTATATTATATTATATTATATTATTATATTATATATTCCTCCTGGCATATGTAAGTGTGTGGTAGCAGTATGTTATATATCTGATCCTCCTTGGATCCTCCTCTGGCCATTCTGTTTGAGCATCTGACCCATGTATGAAGCAGTCAGATTGCAGTGATATTACAGTAGGTACTTGGTATCCAAGGTTTGGTTCCAGAATCTCCCCGTAGATACCAAAACATGTGGATACTCAATACCCAGTCTATACAATAGTGTCGTAAAATGATGTCCCTTATTTAAAATGCCAAAATCAATGCTTGCTTTTGGGGATTTTTCTGGATGTTTTCAAGATTTGGATGTTTGACTCCATGGATGCGGAATCAATGGATACACAGGACCAGCTTATTACCACAGAACTCTAGCTTCCAAATCTCCATCAAAGGGCTAGCAGAACAGGCAGCCAAATTCCAGTGTGATTGTCTCATTGATATCCTGCAGACATTACTTATGTCACAGAAACTATGAGTGTCTTATTAATCTCACTTTGCAGAGTGCAATTGACACAACCTCTTGTCGCTCTTTCCTTATTAGACTGGAGTGGTTGTGTTAAGAGATGCATATTATAATGATTTACGCTATGCCACACAGAGAATTTCAATAAAAGTGTTCTTACAATCTATTTCTGCTGCATATACTTCCCCAAACATCATCCAATAAGGTTGGAATACGATGTCACGTGCAAGAGTCCACGATGGTTGTTCATGTGGTGAAAGTATTGCTTTTCTAGAAACTCCAAAACTCAGCAATACTATGGCCATCATAATCACAATATAAAACATATTTGCTGTCTGTGTGACAGAAAATAAAGCATTATGGTCAGAGGGGCATGATTTCTCATGCAAGTAAAAAGTACAGTATCCTGAGGATAATGAAGTATTTTCTACATTTAACTGATCAATGTAACTGGATAATGCACAGATAAATAATATTATTTACTAAGTTGGCACCAATCTTGAACATGCTTACTTCTGTGCAAGCCACAATTAAAGCGCCAGCATGATTAGTGGTTTAAGCATGGGATTACCATGCTTAGGCAAGGAATACTCATTGATGGTTTCATCAGTTCTTTCCTCTGAAATATAGCCTACAGCACCTGGTACTGGTTGGTTTCCCATTCAACTGCTAAACATGTTTGGCCCTATTTGGTAAATCAACAATTAAGGAAGCATCATGATGCAGTGGGCCTATGCTAGTTTGGCTCAGAATCAGATCTAGACCATAATGTTAATTATTATTGTCCTAAGAATACTTAGGGGGAAGCCTACAGTGCTCCAGCATTTAAAATATGTTTTATATGTATGAAGAATAGAATAATCAATGACTGTAGCTACAGTATAAAAGCAAATGGAACTTCTATGTTCCTGTACTGTTGACACCTTACCATAGATGAGGGGTGTCAAACTCATTTCACCTAGGACTACATCAGCCTTAGATGTTACCTTTAGAAGGCAATTTGTAACTGTAAAACTGGCATTGAAAGTCTAATATGTGACACTATATAAATATATAAATGAATAATAATAAGAAAAATAAGGTAATAAGAAACTGTGTTGTTCTGGTTTTGAAAGCCTCTAATAGCTCCCACATGAAAGCCACCCACTGATTATCAAGGTTGGTTCAAACCCCATGTATCCCATTATCCCCAGCCCCTCTTTGAGAAAGAGCAAAGTGGGAGGAGCAGCCTTTCTTCAAAATCCCCTTCCTCAATTGTGCCACAGAGTGAGGGCCACTGTATTCTGGCTGAGCTAGGAGAGGAATGGACCAGATATGGACTTTTTTAAAGGAATTCTTCCCCAGTCCCAGCTCCATCCCGTTGAGAGAAAGCCTGCCTAGAGGCCAGAAAGTGAAGGTTGCCATCTGCCTTGTGTGTCACATGCGATCTTCGAGCCTCAATTGTGAGAGGTGATCCACATTCAGTATCCTCTCAGTGCAGCCAAAGAAGAAGCACCACTGCCACCGCCTCCTCCTGTTCTCCTGCAGTCTACAGGACATTAAATTCTGCGAGGAAGGAAATGGTCTCTGGCTGGGAACATGCTCCCACACAACTAGGTCCCTGCTGCATATCACATGCAAAGGATGTAACCAGTGCTTGGCAAAAGGGGAGGCCCCAGCACAGGGATCATCTAGACTTTGTGAGCCACATAAAATGATGTTGCCAACTGGACTTGGCCTGCGAGTCTTGAATTTGACACATCTGTCATAGATGGTTCAGAGTTCTAGAAGAATCTGGTTGGGTATTCTTAGAAATAATATATTGGACTAAATGGCTGTGATCTTGTCCAACAGCATTTCTTAGGATTTCTTGTGAGAAATACGCAAACAGGAGTTTGCTCTTTCCCCAACCCTATTTTTTCCAGCATGGCTACTTGTACTTCATAGGAAAACTTCCCTATGTGAAGATTTAACGTATGCAATTCTCTTTAAAGCTCTATCATAAGAAAAAATGGCAAACCCATTAGGAAAAGGAAAAGCTAAATACTTACCATCTTCCCAACCATGGTCAGATATGGGCCTGCATGCTGATTCACAGCAAAGAAATCAAGGAGCCTGGTATACCAGAATATTATATCGAGGCAGTATATTAACCTTCCCACCGTTTGAAGGGGGAGATCAGCCCAGCGCAAGCCAAAACCAATCATGAACAAGATGATAGCAACAGAATCTGTAAAATTCCAGTACTCATAAATCCACACTTTCACCTTTTGGCTGAACTTCCCTGGCTCTGAAATAAATATCTAGAAGGAAGAAGGAAAGTCACTTCATTTTTTATGGATATGAACATTTATGAGCATGAAAACATTATATATCTCCTTTAAGATTTCTGAGAAACATTAAGTAACGAAGAGGAGTGACATTTTCCTTGGATTTTTTCTGGGTCACCAACAGTCTACATCTCTATGCCTATTTCTTCTTATTATCTCTTTATTTTATGGTGTTCAACTGTCTCTAAGATGGTCTCAATATTTAACTCTGACTGGACTTGAACACAGATCCGAATGGAGCTCATACAGCTCCGATTTTTTAGATCCCTGGCCTTCCTCTCTCTTCCCCTTCCAGTCATGGCAGGCTGATTCTTCCAAGAACCAGAAGCGCCTAGCCAGAGGCTCTCTCCATGAGGGGATTGTTAGAGGCAAGGCAACAGAGGTCTCAAAGACCAAGAGGCTGTCTAAACTGACCCTCCAGAAACTGGACATAAACTCTTAATCCCTCTAACTAAAAAGGGCTTAATCAGGGTTAAACAGTGAGGGTCTTCAGGGGGCATGATAGCCATAGTCCAGGGCTTATTCTGTGCAAAAATCACTATAGTCCGTGCAAATTTTGTACAGAATAAGTCTTGCACAAAAATTTGTTGTCTGTGTAAAAATCTAACATATGAATTTTATACAGAATAACCTTCCAACTCCAAAATGTCTTCAAAGGCAGATCAAGAAAAATTCTAAAATTACTTCTTGCTTCCTTCAAGAATAAAACAAACGAGTCACATCCTTAGCTTCCGTGTCCTAATACTGTCAGCAGAGACATTTCTTTACACTAGCTATGATGTCATTTCTGTCTTAACTCCTCCTGTTAAAAAAAACTTTTTACAGGCCCTTTATTTTATAGCCTCCTGATTTCTTGTCTGCTTTTAATTGGTTCATCTGAGCAATAGAGGAAATGCCCTTGTGAGCAGTAATCTTTTTTCTGCAAACAAGTGGAAATAAAAATCTTCCTGTATGTTAAACTATGTCTCTCATTCCAAACTGACTTTTTTTGATAACTAAACACCTATCTGTTTTAAATAGCTATTGTCCTGATAACAAGATAGCCAGCTCCACTGACAGATTCATTTTCATAAGTAACTTTCATCTACTCTCAGGCAATGGATTGTTGTCATTGTTTGTTGTTGTTTATTTCTTGTGAATTATAGGCAAACATTTGACAACTAAGCTGTGAAGGAACTGATGTTTCTTTTTAGTGATGTATTTTTAAGTGTGCCTTTAAGCCTGCTGTACATGTTTTCCATTAAATGTTGGTGTTGCTAGGCACTTTTAATTCCATTTATTTTAGTGAAAAGGCAAAATAAAAACTTAGTAAATAAATATTTTGAAACCTGTATGTATGTTAATGAAACAGAATCATGAAAGAGAATCCCCCCTTCATGGGTTCACAGAAATAAGGTCAGAACTCTAGTATCACACAATGCCTCTGCCATTTTGTAATATCTAAAGTCATTTACCTAAGCAGAGGACAACTCTTGGGGTGCACCTACAGTGTAGAATTAATGCAGTTTGGCAACATTTTAACGGCCATGCCTTAATGCTATGGAATCCTAGGATATGTATTTGGTGAGGCACCAGCACCCTTTGACAAAGAAAGCTAAAGACTTTGTAAAACTGCAGCTGTTATGATTCCATATCATTGAGCAAAACAATTAAAGTAATGTCAAATTCTGGAATGGAAATGCACCCTTCTATCAAAGTAACCATTAAAAATGTGGCCTTGTGTTCTGACATTTCCAGATAATGCAGAATCACTTTAGAAACCTTGTGTGAAGTAGGGAGGGGAAGTTCTTTGTTTAATATTTTATTTTATTTCTGTTTTTAATATGCCACCTCCTGCCACCATTAAACTTATGTGTACATTTAGGCACCAAAGCAATGATGCTGTTAAAGGGGAGAAAGAAAAATAATCCACTCAGAAACTCTGCAACTTGGGGATCAATTATAAACATTTGTATATGTCTCTTTGTTGTTTAAATCAATAATGTAGTCAGTGTGCAGCTTCAAAATAATCTCTCCACTATTTATACCAATATAATCTTCAACTGTCCTCCAGGAATATATCTTCAGACTTATAACTGGAGACACGACTTCAATATGTCATTTGAAACAAAGAAAAGGTTTATTCATGAATTCTTGTGTACATAATGTGTATTGGTTACACAGTATTTTTCTTCAGTTCCACTTAGAATTTGTTACATCAGTATTTTCCTCTTGTGAATATATCACAAGAGGCCCTACTTACCTCTCCGAATGCATCTCCTCCTATGAACCAACTAGGACATTAAGATCATCTGAGGAGGCCCTGCTCTCAGTCCCGCCTGCATCACAGGCGTGGCTGGTGGGAATGAGAGACAGGGCCTTCTCAGTGGTGGCCCCTCGGCTGTGGAACGCCCTTCCTATAGATATCAGATCGGCCCCATCCCTATTGGTGTTTTGGAGGAAAGTGAAGACCTGGCTGTTCGAACAAGCATTCGATTAAGCAATGTAATTAATATAGGAACACAGATTAACAGATGATGAGATTGGATTCTGATTTTACTGATGAGGCGCTAATGATTGTTATATCGATGTTTAATCATGCTATTGTTTTAGCTGTCCCATAATCGTTTTATGATGTTTTGCATTGAATTTTGCTGTTGTTAACCACTTTGAGTCGCCTGAGGGCTGAGAAAAGCAGTATATAAATGAAGTAAATAAATAAATAAATATCAAACTCATACTATATAACTTTCAGACTAGTATAACTTATGTCTCTTCTTTCCTTCAATATTTTGACTGAAACTTATGCTCAGTGAACTTTCTCTGGCTCTCAGTTTCATCTGACCGAGAACTTGGATTCAACTTAGTCCCTTATTACTTCAATATTCCAACTGAAGACACAACCCTATACAAGGATTCTTTTCCTCTGTCTCACAGATTGGAGATCAATTCCAATGGTTCCTTTATTACTTTAATACCACAGCTGAAGACTTAAACTTAACTAGGAACCTCTTCCCTCTAGCTCTCCCAGCTAGAGATTGCCTTACTTTTAAAATGTGTCCTCTCTTCTTCTAAGTTAGCTCCACCCATTTTTGCCTGCTAGCCACTCTCAAATTGATACATTTCTACAGCAGTGGCTTCACAACCATGGCAATGTATCAACCAATCTTCTGCCTGACCTGGGCATAATACTAACAGTAATAAACATAAGCAAAACTTCCCTTATAATTAGTTATTCCATTACACCTTGCATTTTTCTGTTCTTTGAATTTGAAATATTTCTGAGGAATGTTTTATTAAGCATGATGATGATGATAAGATGATTTAAGAATTCTGAGAGGAAAATGGCAAAAGTATCAAATGAAGGAATGGCTTGATTTTTAAAGGGGGTATCCTTGCTTCAATGCTTATTCTCATGGCAGAAATAATGGCCATGGGAATATGACTGTCTGGTGCTGCCAAAATGGATTGGGCATTTGAGATCCTCCATCACCACCACCTTTAAAGCAGATGGAGATTGCTATGAAAAACATCCCAGGGTTGACCCAGCGTATGCCACCCTAGATCGGCCTGGCAACACAGGTCACTGTAAATACTCCAAGTTCAAGGTCTAGAGTGCAATGTCATATCTTGTTCAAGTTTAAAGTAAAACATTTACCATCTGCTCAAAAAAATCTGAAAAATATAAACTTGTCAATAATGGTAAGGGACAAAAATTTTGGCCATCAAATAAATTACATTTCTTTTGATAGGAACTACCTGGCAACTCAACTCTATTTTCACTGAATGTTTTTGTTTCCATCTTTTCACTATTTTACATAAGTCAATATAAGAGTACAATAAAATAAGTTTTTTTTAAAAACAACTAGGGTGGTGGAAAAATTTAAAAAGTTGTAAATAACAAATATTGCATAAACTACTGAAAGCAAAGAGGGTGGGATCAGAGTAGCTCTTTAAAAGGGAATTACGTTTGGTAGAAACAGAAGGGAACAAATCTTTGTCATTTATCAAGGGCATACTGATTCTGAAAACAACACAATGGAAATTAGTAAGATGGAAAATGACATGTTTCTTTCTTGAACAAGAGTGCCCCTAAGGGCTTTGCAGCCTTACTAACCTAACTGTGGACTGGAATCTTTGGAAGGCCATAAAAGTATTTGTACACATTACGTAGCAAAGCTCAATTATAAGTTACAATGATCACACACAGATAAGCAACAAATGAATGAGTCATATTAAAATGTTAGCCCTCCAGATGCTGGGGGGAAAAGTCATGTATAAATAAGTCTCTATATATGAGTGCCATTGAGCTAAATTATGTTATTAAGAATTGTAAAAAATACTTAAAGAAATGGAAGCCTAAGGGTATAGCAATTACTTGATATGATCTAGAGAAGGGAAATTCGCAGTATGGCATACAACCTCTGAGAAGTTAATTATGTATGGATAAGATGCAATGTCCTGCAAAATTTAATTCAGCAGACCAGAACCAGTACATGAGTCAAATAATTGCTTCATAAAAGAAAAGTCACATAGCTGCATGAGCTAGCAGTCACAATAAAATCTGTCTCAAGTATACTGTATTTTTATTAATTGCAAATTTTTCCATTGCTAAAGCAAAGCTGCTTTTGCTCAGGTGAGAAAGCTCCAGCATATCAAGTCAAATATTTATCAGTCCCCAGTTTTAGAGCACAATTCATTTATGGAAGGGGTGAACATTGTGTGGCCATTCAGTTTATGTTGGATTGCAAATATAATCATTCTTCACCATTGATAATGGTGACCAGGCTGTTAGAAGTTGCAGTACAACAGCATCTGGAGTGCTGCATTTTTCTCAGGTTGAAAGAACACCTTTCCTTTTCTTTCATAGCATTATCTATTCTTCACCCATGACAATGAAAAGGAATAAATATGGCATCAATGTCTGATGAACTGTGTCTAGCTTAAAAGTATTATTAGTGGCTACAACATTTGCAAAGCAGATATGGGTTACCTCATTTGAATGAAATCATTATAATGCTTTGCGACTCTATTATTTATTATTATTTATTTTAAAAAATTATATTTCGCCCTTCTCACTCCGCAGGGGACTCAGGGCGGAGCACAACATATATAGGGCAAACATTCAATGCCGGGACATAAAACCATAAATATATACATACATTAAAATCACTTATATTCATTTATTTATTTACAGCATTTATATTCTGCCCTTCTCACCTCGCAGGGGACTCAGGGCGGATTACAGTGAACACATATATGGCAAACATTCAATGCCAATTTTGACATACAACATATACAGACATACACAGAGGCTATTTAACTTTTTCTGGCCGCCAGGGGAGCTGTCACTTTCATCGTCCAGCTGCGACACGGATGAAGTACTTCCGCATTCCCCACATGCTTTTTTTGCTGGAGTGCTTTGCTGGAGTCTTTTTTATGGCCTCATAAATTAGTTAATTTAGCCTCCCCACACAAGGTGGTACCTACTTTTCCTACTTGACAGATGCAACTGTCTTTCGGGTTGCAAAGGTCGACGACAGGCTACACAATTGGTTGGAAACCCACTCCAACCCGAGCTGGCTTCGAACTCATTACCTTTTGGTCAGAGTGATCTTAATGCAGCTGACACTCAGCCAGCTGCGCCACAATCCTGGTGCATTTAAAATCAGTTACTTAAAAAACCATCTCAGGACACCATTTTGTCTCATTGCACTTCCCAAGGGTTTGATCCCACAGCCAGGTCTTCACCATCCTTCTGAAGGACAGGAGGGAGGGGGCTGATCTAATATTGCCAGGAAGGGAATTCCATAATCAGGGGGCAATCACTGAGAAGGCCCTGTCTCTTGTCCCCGCCAAACGCACCTGTGATGGTGGTGGGACCGAGAGCAGGGCCTTTCCAGAAGATCTTAGTTTCCGCAGTGGTTCGTAAAGGGAGATGCATTCAGACAGGTAAACTCTAAATGAAGGCTTTACCGATCTCTCTTAATATAATATGCTTTTGACATAATGTTTAAGAAAACAAAATAAAATTGCACTAAAATGTGCAGAAAAGAAATGCAAACAAATATCCCGCAGTTCTTACATTTATTTCTGATTTTTAATATATTTTATGTACTTTTATACATAATTTTAAATTTAAGTATACATATACATAGTATATAAAATGCACAGTTCATTTGAATCTTGTGTTATGCAGTCATTCAGGCTTCTTTCTTTTGAAACCCAATTTTTTGAAAGAAAATGTTAAGTTCATTTGAAATATGATATAATATTGTGCGTGTGTGTGAGAGAGAATTCTGAATTCCTATTTAAAATGGGGAGCGGCAAAATAAGAAAGAAAGAACCTACCTCTCTGACTTTCTCAATGGAGGTGGTGAAAATGTAGATGATCACAAGCCACTCTGGCACAATGGGTGTTGGTTTCATCTCCACCAAGACAATGTAAGTGAATAGCATGAGAAATGCTAAATAGGCCATCTGAAAGTTACACAATGCACATTCTTCCAGATTTTGATAAAAATTAGAAAGCCACAAGTTGTGTAATACAACACTCCCTAAAAGCACTTGTGAAACATCTCCACTATAGATTTGCATAAACAATAAAAGTGGAGAAGTAACATAAATACTGACTATGACTACAAAAATTCCCAAGATTCAAAAGTATATGAAATTACTTTTTTCGAACTTCATATTACTACGAGAAACTGCAGATAATAGTGACCTATTGAAATAAATGACTTCCAGACTGAAAATCTCTTAGGAGAGCCCACTGGGGAACCTTAAAATGCCTAGAGAGAACATATTTTATTGGACACTAGCTATCCCCTGCCACGTGTTGCTGTGGCCCTCAGAAAACAGGAATTCCAGGCATGAAACAATAGATAGAAGAGACGTATGATAGATGGGTTGGAAGGTAAATGGATGGAACATAGATAGATAGATAGATAGATAGATAGATAGTCAGACAGACATATACATATCTTTAGGACCAAAGGGGGTTGGACTGGATGGCCTTTGGGGCTCCCTTTGAGTTTGATGGCCATCTGTTGTGAGGGCTGTGATGGTGTCTTCCTTTACTGTAATAAATGGTTGGGCTGGATGACCTATGGGGTCCCTTTAACTACTATGGCTCAATGTTGTGGAATAATTCCACGGTGTAGACCAGGTAGGGGCAAACTTGAGCCCTCCAGGGGTTTTGGACTCCAACTCCCACAATTCCTAACAGCCTTCCTAACAGCCTTTGGGGTTGGAGTTGTTTTTGTTATGGCATTTTTATGAGTGATGGTCACTCGTTGGCCTGATAGGTGTATTGTGTCCAAATTTGATGTCAATTCATCCAGTGGTTTTTGGGTTATGTTAATCCAACAAACTAACATTACATTTTTATTTATATAGAGTAATAAATGAAACCACAGATTCTGGAACTATGGATACCAAAGTCATCCTGTATCCTCTGGAAAGAAGAGTTAACAATCCATCAGCAATCAGCACTGAATTGTAGACCGTGGAGGAAGGTACTGTATTTCTATTAGAACTGCAGTGGTTCCTTACAGATGTGTTTTTATATCAGCAACATAACTATAATCATATTAAACACATTTTTCCTTTTTCATCCTTTTCTTTCTTTCATTAAAGTAGAACTCTAATAGCTAACCTAATCCAGACTGATATTTGGAAGGACCTTATTTGGAAGGACCTGCTTTTGTATACTGTTTGTCTAATACCAGTCAATGAAGTAAACAAAAACAAAAACAAAAAAAAACATACACACATCTTCAAAACATACACAGGCTCATTCTGTTATTAATGCAATATTCTTAAAAGCACTAAGTTAAATACACAATATCAGAATTGTAATGCACTTTTTTTTTTTCAGGCAATATATAACAAGGATAGCTTCAAGTGCCCAAATTAAGTTCTCCTTCTCTGTCAAATCTGGTCTTGTGTCGATGGAAGTGCCTTTGTTTTGTTACATATATTGTAAGAAGCATTCCCAAGACCAACAATTACTGACCGTATGAAACCAGAACTTGACAATCGGAGCACTGTAGAATTCATAGACTTTCCTGGTCCAAGGAAGGGTTCCCTGCTCGTTGTTGGTGGAGGATGTCTGTCTTTCATCTTGCTTCTCAGTTCCTTTCTCTAAATCATAATTGTTCTTCATAGAGACAGAAAGATTTCAAGTTAGTAGCCATCTATAGATATGAAAAGTTATATCATTCAACCTAAACAGGAATAAGAATCTATACCAATGCTTGTTAGAATAACCTGTATTCTAAAAATAAAAAATATTAATATTTACCTTTAAAAGAACACAAAAATTAGATTTATATTTAACCATGCAAGGAGCTTAATCTTGAATAACTTTATAATTCAGAAAGTATTTTTAGATTATTACTTTAACAGTATGCTGGTGTTAGAATTGATTGATTCAGTCTTTCCTCGTTGACATCAAGTGGGAAGAAAAATGTAAGAGAAAAAATGAACAGGAAAAGCAGTCTCTTTGGCTGTTACTAACATAGTTTTAGGAGGGCTTTGTATTGTTGCAGAAGCTATGCCATTGCTCTACCTATGTCATAAATGCACTGTACACACTATAAAAACTTGCTGTTTGCACATTTGATTTACACACAATTATAATCTTCCTTTTATAATGTCAGATAAAAACTGTGTTCTCACAGAGATGATTTTATTACTGAAATAGTGTGGGAAATAAGCATACTTCTAAACCCAAAATCCAAAGTAATTTTCTCTTTTAGAATTAGATCTGCATCCTCACTAGATTACTTCTGTGTCCAGACAGTGGCACCCAAACCTTCTATGCCAAGAATCATGAAACAAGAGTATCTTAGGGTGATTTGATGATACACGGAACAGGAACACCTCCACTGCAGCTTTTATTGCAGTTTCCAATCTTCCACAGCAAAACATTAAGTATACAAAAATATATAACTTTGAGCAGCTTTAGAATTTCGATCTCTGCTTTTGTATATGCATATGTGAAACAAAAAGAAAAACTCAAACTTAGTAAACCCAAATCTAAACCTGGTACCATAGTAACCTGTGAGAAGTCTTCTTTAACAGTGCTTGTGCTGGGATCTCCATGATACCATGTGAACTGGTGGAAGTCCTGTGACTGAGGCACATGGGACATTTCAGCCTTGGTTTTGAACTCCAGCATCAAGATAGTAGGAGGCAGAAGAATACTTAGAATCACCTAGAACAGAAACATGTGCTTGCTTAGACTTTATGCAAGGCTATTGTCCATTTCAACTTTGTATCACAAATGTTTAATTAGGCAGTGGCAGCTGATGCTGATAATCACAGGTGAAAAAGGTATAGATCCCACCAACATAGCCTAACTATTTCTAGCATAATTCCCCATCTTTTCACTACATAAAGCTTCTTCCACCAGCTCCAACTCAGCTTTCTCACATAAAGTCAAAGGCAGACAAGACATAAGGGACCTTTTCAGCAATAACAAAGATGGCTTTTAAAATCGAGAAAGAGGGAGAGTCTAATCTGAATTAAGACATGGAAGGCGATGACAATTTAGCATGTTTTTCCTACCACTCCAACCCTGATCTCAGTATGGGAATTAAAAGAAAATTTCAATTTGCACCAGCTAAAGGTTTTCTTTTAATACCTGACAGTTATGGGGAGGGCAAGTCCAGTTAAAGACTGCAACAGGCAGCAAGGGTCCCCATGCAAGTATTCCAGTCTGATTCAAAGCCATTAATGCAATGGCTAACATTATAGTTAAGTTATAGTTCCATATACAAAGGTCCATATTATTTTGAATACCATCAGGCAGTGTTGCCACCATCATATGCCCCAATTCTAATCTTGTAGGCTAGATACTGAAATGCAGGAGAGTGGCTCTGAGAAACACCCCTTCCTCTAAAATACTCCTAGGGGACTTCCACACAGCCCTTTATCCCAGGATCTGATCCCAGATTATCTTCTTTAAACTGGAATATATGAGTCCCCACTGCCAGATAACCTGGGATAAACAGATAATCTGGGATCAGAGCCTAGGATAATGGGGCAGTGTGGAACGGCTGCTAAACACACAAAACCTATTTACTTCTGGACTAAAACATGCTAGATAGCAATTCTATCGCATTTTATGCTACCAATTTTTTCCTGATCCTACTCTAATAGCTTCTATTGCTTGTTGAGGCAGAAGGGAAAACAAATACAGACCATCTGGTAAAGGATGTGTGGGGATTGTGGAGTCAAAAGGACTGATATGCTTCTTGTGATCAGTTATACTCTTGGGAACATATTTGTCTAATATTTGAAATGGTGTTTCAGGAGATACCCAACACTAACCTGAGCATGGGCTCATCCGCTCAAGGAAAAAATGATAGCTGATGCCTGTGTCGCTGCCACTCCTAGATTGACATGGCGCTCTATCTAGTCTGACATCAGCAGAAGCACCTGTGATGGCCAGAAACTCAGGCCAAGCTCCAAGGCTGGCTAGGACCAGCAGCAGTCACATGAAGGCGATGAGATATGAGTCGCCCCAGCAGAACAGATGTGCTCCCTGGCCATCTGAACAATCAGTGACCCTGGATTTGTCCTGTACCAGGGCATATTTACATAGGGATAAACTACCAATGTAGATGAGCCCACAGTTAGTGATTCAGGAACATCCACCACCTGAGTCGCCTTGGGGAGATAGGGTGGGACATAAATAAAGTGTATTAGTATTATCCAGTCTTCATGATGCAAGTGATTTGTTGTTCTTGTGTGCCTTCAAGTTGTTTCTGAATTACGGCAATTCTAAGGCAAGACTATTATGGAATTTTCAGAGTGGTTCGCCTTTGCCTTCCTCTGAGACTGAGAGAGTATGACTTGCCCAACTTTACGCAGTGGGTTTCCATGACAGAACATGGATTTGAACCCTGCTCTCTAGAACTATAGTCTAGTGCTCAAATTACTACATCACTCTGGCTCTCAATTCAAGTGCTACCCTGGTTGTCTTTATGTTCTCCGCTTTCTCCATAGATATTTCACAAGTCATTTTCTTGTAAATAAACATCCACATCAAATAGAATAAGATAGGCTATAGCAAATGGAACTGGCAGAAATTAGGATGGGTAGAAAAGCACTGTAGAGTCACAGGAAGCAAACAAGCAAATGAGGTATCACTTAAACATTAGGAAGAACTTCATGATGGTAAGAACTGTTGGACAGTGGAACACAATGTTTCAAAGTGTGATGAAGTCTCCTTCTCTGGAAGATTTTAGACAGAGGCTGGATGGTCATCTGTTGAGAATGCTCAGGTTGTGAAATCCTGCATGGCAGAATGGGGTTGGGCTGGATGGACCTTGTGGTCTCTTCCAATGCTATGATTCTAACATTTTGTGTGACTTACAACAGCAGGCCTCACCTACATTGCACTGTTTGCATGATCCATGTTGTAATATTGACACACACTTTTCCCATGGCATAACCCAGCTCCTTTTTCAAAAGAATGCTTCATCAATAATAATAAAAAAAGATGTTTAACATGCAACCAAAAGGTAAGAGATGTATGAGGAACCAGAGGCTATTGAGATGTTGTTGGCTTAATTTCTTGTTATCAGTTATCACTGGGCATACTGGTTTAGTAAAAAGTGGTTTTGGGGTTCAATATATCTGGAGAATTATAGGTTTTCCTCCTTGCTGAAAGACAAGGCAACCAACACAAAATCAAGTGCCTTCCAACTCTTTAGATACGGGACTCCGGACAGGATCTTTACCTTAAACCAAGAGTTCTTCCTCATTTTCAAGCGACCCATCCACATATCACTCAACAGCATCTGTGTGCATGTGTGAGACACAAAGGGTCGCAAACCCACTGACACAGCCAGTTTCAGGCATGTTGAGTTACTCCAGTTCTTCAGCTCATAAGTCAGCAGCTTCATGGCCATCTGCTCATTTTGTTTGAATGCATTATCCAGCACATCCAGAGCCAGCTGTCCAAATTCACTGTGACAGCAAAAGAAAAAAAGAGAGAGAAAGATGTCAAATTTAGAGAAATGACCAAGCAAATCTAACTCTGGCAGGCAACAGGCCTTGAATAAAATTCCTGTCATATATACACTCTGATCATAGACATTAATGAGAATTTCTACAAGTGTGTGTTTTATGAGAACAACAATATATGACATTAAAGTTTCCTATTGACCCCTTGTTCTGATGATTCTGATATTTCTCTATCAAAGGCTATGATGTTTCTATTTTGCAAGCAACTCAATATGTTTCCATAAGCAAGCAATGTAAACACCATTGAGGATGAAACTCCTACTGATTTTATTGCTACCTCATGAAGAAACTCAAGATTTATTTATTGTACAATCCTGCACATGCTTGAAGATAAAAGAGTCACTGTTTTCAGTGGTGCTTGCTCTCTAGTAAATACATATAGGATTGTAAACTTAAAATAACCTATTCATTCAGTCCAATTACAATTTGATAGTTGAAGAAGAATCAAAGAAAAAGTCAAGCTGAAATTCATGCTAGAAAAAATTCGTTTTATGAAGAATGCCAATGCAATTTGCATCTTACTCAGGAAATAGACAGACAGATAATAGTTACTAGGCCTGGGCAATGCATGGTTCTAAATGGTTCTAAAGTACTTACAAAACTAAAGTTCTGGTGGTGAAAACTTCAAAATTCTAACAAAACTCTCAAAATTTCATTATAGATGGCAGTTCCTAATTGGTTCTGTCATAAAAATCGCCAATAATGAAATAATTAAATGTTGAACATTTTGTTAGAGTTCTGAAATTTTCACCACCAGAACTTTAGTTTTGTAAGTACTTTAGAACCATTTAGAACCATGGATTTCCCAGGCCTAATAGTTACAGTATACTTCATTCCGCAAGAGGGGAATGCTTGAGGGGTCATCTTCTTTGTGTGGTGTTTCATGGTGTTCTGTCTTTAAAGAAGATGTAGAATTTACTCACTCCCATCACACAGGATCACTTCTTTCCCCTTCTAGCTCTATCATTTCAAGAATACCAACACTTTTTAAAACCAGGCACAGTGCTTTCCATTGCATTTGCCCTACACTAAAGGAAACAAGACACCCCTTTTGCAACACTGCGTTCCATGGGATCACTGACCTTAAGCCCCTTACACTAAAGGAGACAAAACGCCCTTTTTGAGACACTTCTTTCAATGGGACCCACACCCATTGAAAGGAGTATTAATAGACTACCCACAAGAATGCCTACACTTTCACTATGGGGAGCTCTGGAGTTGATTGTTTCCCGACTCCAAAAACCACAGTTTCTAAACACTTTAGTAACTGAGTCTTGTGGGCTAATGATGGAAGTTCTCTTGTGTAATTTTATGAGTTCTGTGAGACTCTATCTTTAAAATATCTTTTAAGTGCAAAGAATCAAGGGAAAGTAAGAATATGATGAAGTTCCCTGTGTCTACGAGTTGATTAAAACTTATGTTGACTCTAAGGTGAACCTATTATGTGGTTTTCTAAAGTGTGTGATTCAACTAAGGTCACCCAGAGGATTTCCATGGTAGAGCAAGGAACTCAGCCTTTATCTGATGTCATAGCCCTATCTATCTATCTATCTATCTATCTATCTATCTATCTATCTATCTATCCATCTAGTGTGGGGTAATGGTTTGCACACTGAACCATGACTCTGAAGACCACGGTTCAAATCCCCACTCACCCATAGAAACTCATTAATGACCTTAGTTCAGTCATGCTATCTCAGCCTCAGAGCAAGGTGAAGGCAAACCTCATAGAATTCAAAGAGACCACAAGGGTCATCCAGTCCAACACCATTTTGCCATACAAAACCAAAGCATGCTTGACAGATGCCGATTCAGCCTCTCTTAAAAAATCTCCAGAGGAGGAGACTCCACCATGCTCTGGAACAGCATATTCCACTGAACATGTCTTACAAAGAAAACCCTGTGATAGGGTCACCATAAGTCAGAAACTATTTCAAGGTAAACAACAACAACAACAACAACAACAACAACAACAACAAATGCATACCCACACAGATAAGTTCAGATAAAATATAAATAATCTATGTCAAAAGTTTGCTTGAAAAACCTACAAGATCCTTGTTTCTTGTTAGCCATAAAAGACAGCATACAAGTATTTCTAATAAGGTAAAAGACTAATTTAGGATCCTTGTCTTTTTTCTGTACCCAATAAGGTAAAGAATTATGTTTGGGGGGAAAACCAGAGAAACAACTTTAGTAATTTGTTGATCCTGATAGATGTACTATATTATCATTTTATCAAAATGTTCAAGCAATGAAAGAGTAATGGCCCTGATGACTAAATTACAAATATTGAAGAAGGGTTAAAACTGGAATCACATGCAAAAAGATCATATTATTTGGCATTATGGTTTTGTACTGGCCAACTGTTTCTTGTGAAATTATCTTTTCACTACAGAGGGTAAAATTAAGACCTTCAGTTTACACTGATGATCAGTCATGTCCATTGCTTTCTGCACCAAAGGACCACCAGCCATAATGATAGAGAATCTTAGTTGATGGAGAGAAAAAAGTCTAACCATTCTAATCACTGTAGATCTTTATTATCTCAAGTGAAGGGAGAACCCCTACTTTGAATACTTCTTCAGCTCTTCTGATGTATCATCTTCCATATTGCTTTCCTTTGCTTCATGGGCCATGGCTCTGTACAGTTTGCAAGCTACCACTGCTTTAACCATAGCTTCCTTTCCATGTTGCCAGAAGAACATAGCCATCTTCTGCCTTTTCATCAATACTGCCCAAACCAAGAGGTCATTATATGGGTAAATAAAGCCAACAGACTCTTGGTCATCAGAGACAGTAAATTCATCTTTTAGCTTCTTCCGGGTCTTCTGAAGAACAGCTGATTTTTCCTATAAGTTAATAAATAAAAAACCAGGTCATTGCCTTAGGCAGCAACCTAATACTCATATATTCATCAATTCATCTTGCATTTTGTGTGCTTTTGTGATATTTGTGTGCCATAACACAACTCAGATTTATACAATCCAGTAAAAACAACTCCAATGCAATACTTTCATAAAATATCAGTGAAACATTTGGGGGATATTGCAAAAATTCCAGTGCAGAATGCAATTATTACTAATACATTTTATAGTACTATGTGAATATGAAAAAGTATAGGCAGTGTTGCTAGAGCAAGACATTTTAACAATGGATACAATTACAACCGGCCTCCATCCAAATTTGCTGCTGACTTTCTTCAGATTCATAACTGAGCAAACATTTTCATTTCTTGGGACAGAAAAAGAAGATATTTTAATTCTTAAATTAAGAAGGAATCTAAAGAAAATGTTGAATAGCATGACATCCTATAGAACTTTATCTGAATTATAGGACTATGGGAAATGGAAAAAATTGTTCCAGCAGGGTAACAGAAATATCTCAAATGCTACACATAACCCACTGGTCTGTAATCATCTACTGTTGGATTTTCTTGGATGCCTAATTTCTTTGACACCAAGGACTCGGGCCCATTTCAAGGGGAATACCTGGAACCATCCATACTTTATAAGTTTATCTGGTTCAACCTTGACTCAAAACCTGAGGGAAAAATATCTTACTTTACTAGGAATAAAGGATAATAGTTGAGAATCACTCACTTCCCCCATATGGTTGATTTCATAAGGCATAAGCAAAATTCCAACATTGTCAGGACACAGCCAATTTTTTTGGGTACAATTTCTCAGGCTTCAGGAATTATGGCTTCATTCCCTTTTCCTCTTTCCATGTGGAAAGTCAGAGGAAAATACAGACAACGTATGTTCTAGGCACCATCTTAGTATTAACTTGTGACTTAGTCAGCTTCAGCAAATGGTAGCTGTGAACGGTCAGCTCTTTTTCTCTTTCATAATCCTTACTGAGGAAAGGAAGATAAAGAGTGGGAATCTGGGAATCCTGCTGTTCATTTTTGTAGGAGATAACAGCAAGATTTCTGCACCTTTCTTACTGGTAGGGTAGTCAATCTCCAGAGATAGCCATGAAATGCCACTTACCCTCCCAACTAAATTCACTGTGCACTCTGCAATAGGACTCAAAGATGATCCGAATTAGATACCTCCATGGGTTAGAGCATGCCTGGGAGTCAGAGTCAACTCCCTCCACCATTATACCATTGAATCCGTCTAAACACTATGGCTAACAAAACAAGATTTTTCCCAATCAAATGCTATTCTAGCAAATGGCATAAATACACAAAGAATCACAATACTTTATATTTGTATGGCTGTGCTGTTCTGAAGAACTGGGAATGCAAGGTGTTTTCAGCAGATCCAGCTCGACTCCCCATCTGATTAAGCTGGTGGAGGGAGAAATTCTGGGCCAAACTGGTGACAGCTCTCTAGTTCCAAAGAAATTTCATGAAAACAAAAAAGAGAACGAAATGTATTAGAGGTAGGCCACAGTAGGGTTACAGCCTCATCATGTCATCCAAGTTAAGATACATTCGCATTAAGAGGTTCCTAGTTTTCTTCCTAGCCATGGTAGTATAATCTTATTTTATCTTCAAATCTATAGTGCTTTTATAACTGTTGAAATTCCTCTTCACTTTATTTTGTACTCCTGCTATAAGGACATTAGTCGTGATACCATATTTCTTTGTATTATAGTAGAGGGGTTAGCTGAACGGATAATTAAATAGGATGTCCAGCAATTGGCAAATCACTATCCATATTAAAACTGTTTCCCTTTTAAAATACACACAGAGCAAAAATGCTACTAAGGCATTCTGTGGAGATTGTGTTATTCTTATATCCTTTACAAATCCATCCCATTAACTCAGACCCTCTGGGTGATATCTATCTCAGCTATCCCAAACTAGGCTAACTATTACAGATATTTTCTCTGCCCCCAGATTGTGGAATAACCTGCCAGAAAATATCCCTCAGCTGGCAATACTGTCTGAACATTTAAAACATCTATCTCTTCTGACAAGCCTATCTAGACTATTTTTAAATCATGAGTTTTATAGTGTATGTGGATGGATTTTAATATGCATTGGTTTTATATGCTTGTTTAATTGTTGTTATGTATTGTGTTATCTGTTGTGGTTCCCTGCTTCACTTCATAGGATGAGGCAGTTAAGAAAGTGTTACTGTTATGCTATTGTTATTTTTGAAAGAGGGTGAGGACAACAATGACAATGGCTTTCAGAAAAAGAAAAAAAGTCAGAAACAATACTAGGGCGATTATTAAAATATTAAGTTGTCACATGGATCCTTTTTAAAATGTGAATAAATTTACCTTGGTGTTTTTACAACAAATGCTCATCTGGAGGTAGTCTGATTATCACTTTTCAGGTATTGTTAGCTTACTAAAAACTAAATTGTGCTAATATGAATTTACCTTGTGTTTCCTGTATAGGCTGTTGTACAGGACTCTGAAATGTTTTCTTGTATAGCTGCTCTGATAGGCTCCACCAATCAAATATTCTATTACCAGCCCGATGTCTATCAGTGATATTTTGTAGTCCACTGGAAGTGTACTCTGTAACATATTTTTTGACAGTTTATGCAGCAAATAAGGAAATATTTATCATACTTACAGTCTTTTATTGAGTAAGGCATTCCTATATCTCAGGAATCCTTACAAGCCTGTAAATTATTTGTGTATTATTATCCTGATGTTGTAAACAGAGACCTGAAGTCTAACAAATGACTTATAGAAGAATACGTACTGCGTTCATAGCTAAAGAAACATTTGAATCAGAATTTCATGGTGTTGCAAAGAACAGCAAATTGTAAGCAATGATAAATGTAAGTGGCTGACAGTACAAAATGATTGTTTCCCATTCTTTGGAATTGTAAGTTACCTGTTTTACATCACAAACAAGGTGACGCAGAAGAAGATTTGTTGGTCCTTGTTTCTAGGATAATTCAGAAAGAATAAGACATAATCAATGGAGCAAATATATAAAAGAAAAGAAAAATGTTTCATTAAACATGAAGCAATAATTTAGAATCATCATTTTAATGCCTAGTTGCCATTTTCCTATTAACCAAGAGTTCAAGCATCTACTTATCATCTGACTGTCTATCATCCATTTTTATACTGATTTTTGCCTAAGGCAGGATGCAGGGTGGCTTACAACAAATTTAAACCGAGTATAGCTGAAGCATATTTGATATGAAGGTCCAAAAATATTTGGAAGCTTCAACTAGCCCAACGGGCAGCGGCCAGATTTCTCACCAGATCTGCATACAGGGAGCATACCACCACCACCAACCCCCCCCCCCCCCCCCCCCCCCCCCCCCCCCCCGTTACATCAACTCCACTGGCTGCCGATCTGCTACGGAGCACAAATCAAAGTGCTGGCCTTGGCCTATAAAGCCTTAAATGGTTCCAGCCCAGTTTACTTGTCTGAACGTATCTCCCTGTACAACCCTCCTCAGGGACTAAGATCATCGGGAGAAGGCCTGCTCTTGATCCCACCACCCTTGCTAGCGTGGCTGGTGGGGACAAGAGACAGGGCCTTCTCAGTAGTGCCCTCCCGGCTATGGAACACCCTCCCTAATGAAATCAGATTTGCCCCCTCTCTCCTGTCCTTTAGGGGAAAAAAACTTAAAACTTGGTTGTGGGACCAAGCATTCGAGCAGCAAACACAGCAATAATAATGAGAATGATTTATTGGACTGACCTAGATTATGACTTGAATTTGCATGATTTTAATTGGATGTTTTGTACTCGATATTTTAACTATTGTTTTAATCGTTTTTATAATTGTCTTTGTCTGGGCATCTAATGGTTACCCACTGTGAGGCCACCCTGAGTCCCGCTCCGGGGGTGAGAAGGAAGGAATACAAATGTATGAAATCAATAAAATAAAATAAATAAAATCATTACAAGATGAATTGCAGATGTTGAAAAACACATCAAAACATTACAAAGGAAGAAAGAGTTAAAAGACTCTTATGCTATACTAAGTTAAGCCTGACTAAATAAAAAGAAAGCCAAAAGGAGGCCAACTGAGCCTCCTATGGGAAGGAATTCCAAAATTTTACAGCAGCCATTGAAAAAGCCATCTTCTGTGTCCATGGGAAACTCTGTGATGATAAGGTGGAAAAAAGTTGGAAATCTCAAATATTTGGCAATCTCAGTTCTTTATCATTCAAAAAGCCATGTTTGGATCAAATCAATGGACTAAACGTTAGTTTTCTATGATTACATTGCTTTTAAAAATACATATTTAGGGAAATTCAAGTACTCACTGTATTGTACAGTTCCTCTAGTCGGCCTATGGTAAGAAAACGATGGGGGTTCACACCATATTCTATTAGCAGCTTCACAAATTCTACACGATCCATTACCAAAGCATCTAGCATGGCTTGCTCTAAGGAACCAACCTTCAAATAAAAGCACACAATACATTAAACATTTTTAAATGCTGGGGACCAAAATTAGAAATAAATAAATCATGAAAAAAAACAGAACTATAAGCATATGCAATCAGAAAATGGAAACTAAATGTCACCTTCCAGTGCTGTCCATAAACCAATATATGCTTCTTAGCAATGTCCAGTCTGTTCCAGGCCAGTGCCAGATTTAGTTGATCTGGGGCTGACATATTTGTCCCTATAAACAAGCAAAGATTCTTTTAGCTTTAAATGTACATTTCTATTTCATTCGTTGATATGTCTAAGAAGGAAGGTGCAGAAATGATGATGTAGAGCTACCTTTTAAGAGTGCAATCAGGATGGCCAGATCAATGTCTTGATGTTCCTCTGACTCTGCATCAAATATTGTTATCTATCAAAACAGGAAAACATCTTGCTAAGGGAAAAGAAGGGGCCAAAGCAACAGACAATTAAGGATAGCTATCTCTGGCTAGAGAAAGATTGTTGGCACATAAATGAATTTATAACGTGCCAAAATATTGTTGATAGTGTGCCAAAATACGTTAATTCTTTTCCTTCACATGATGGTCCAACCATCCTCAGAATAATCACCAGGGTTATATCATGTTGTTGATTCAATACTGTACAATTGGGGAGCACAGAATTTAAATACATATGTGAGGATAACTCTTGGATTTCTTATGAATATGAGAAACTGGTTGAAAGGTAATCCTATTATTTTCAATGGGAGGAATGACCAAGCTATCAAGAAGAGGATGTAGCTTATACAGGAGGCCCTAAGTCAGTGGTTCTCAACCTGTGGGTCCCTAGGTGTTTTGACCTACAACTCCCAGAAATCCCAGCCAGTTTGCCTGCAGTCAGGATTTCTGGGAGTTGAAGACCAAAACAACTGTGGATCCACAGGTTGAGAACCACTACTCTAAGTGAATATGAATAAGTGACATGGTGGATAAAGGAGACCATGCATAGTAGTTCTGTGGATATGGGTGTCATATTGTATAACTAACCATAGGTTAAGAATGGTGGTGTGACACTCCAGATGTTGTTGGAGTACTGCTCCCTTCACCCCTCACCATTGGCTATGTTGGCTATATCTGATGGGATTTATAGTCCAGAAACAACTGGACAACCACAAGTTGGCCACCCCTCATTGCTAAACACTAAATGGAAGAACAGGAAAGGATTCTTCTCCAGTAACTCGGGACAGGTGAATAGATCTGAACTATCACTGAGAGGGATAGCATCTCAGAGAGGTAAAATTCTGGTTTGGACCTGTGAGACAGAAACAAAAACAGTCTAGAAATCAGTCCTGCCCAACAGCAAGGAAAGCTCCTAGATAAAATGTATTCACGGCATGAAGTTGTTTGAGAAGTTTCTATGAGAACTCTGCCCTTTGTTCTACACATAAACATATAGTCAAGAATTAATATACTACTCAATTACATACGAGCAATGTACAGTTGGTAGTTTTTATCATGCTTATAAGGAATGAGAAAGTGAATCCCAATATATAAGTTGCCTTATATATTGCACGCATTAAACAAAGAATATAGGTCCTGCATCCCCAGTTATAACTTCTGCCAAAACTTCTGCCAAAGAATATCCTTGTGTTATCTTCAAGTATGCAATCACATAACTATCAGAAAGATGATGCAAGCAAGGATAATTACGGATAAACTTTGCCCTATGATCGTTTTTTCAGGATAATAATTTTAGTCAATAAACATCTCAACTTAAGTAAAAATTCAGTAGCATTGCAGAGAATTAAATCAAATAGAAATGAATTTTGTTCATACATCACACTTACAGAATCCCTGTATTCCATACACTCCATTAAAATTTTAAACAGATGATGAGATTGTTTCTGATTAAAACTGAACATATTCTGAATCATCAATAAGATCTGTTCTTTAAGTTGGGGGCTCAGATTCCTGAAAGAGAAAAATATATATAGAAAGATAACTTTGCATCGCTTGCTCTTCTTGTTGTTGATCTACATTCAGAAAAGACATTTGAACAAATTACTCACACCTGAAGTATAGATTCCATCCCATCCTTAAAGAACTAATATCTACAGTTATTATGGGAATTCAGCCCAAGTAGAAATAAATATATCGAACAGGGATTAGCAACTAGATTGGCTCAGGGGTCAATTATTTGCTAATTCCTATTGCTGGCATATGCATAGCTGACAAAGGAAGATCTAAGTCCAACTTGCTGAGGTTGTTTATTGGTAGACTGAGAAAAAACCAGGTAGAATTAAATGTGAATGAAACAGGGTATTTCTTTATGCCACTTGCAGTTTCCTTTCCTCATGCACTGAAATACTGAAAGAAGTACAGCAGCAGCAGCAGCAACAACAACAACAACAACACTTTATTTATATACCGCTCTATCTCCTCAAGGGGACTCAGAGCGGTTTCCAAGTAACATCATCAATACATACATACAGAGTAAACAACATAAACATAAAATTAACAAAGCAATATAAGCATTAAAAATCACAATAGCACATATATATTTAAAATAATCCTTCCTGTTCAAGGCAGCTTAAAAAGGCCGGGCCGGGACTAGTGCAATTTCTAGAGGGCCCGGGAAATTAAGTGCAATGCTATAGCAGGCAACAACAATAATAGGTATAGTCTATGGCTGTTCATTTCAAGGGCCTAATAGGAGGAAGTGACCTGGATGAGTGGTAGAAAATGATATGGCCATATTGAACAATATCTGGGGCTGAGCTAGAACTAGTCGTTCTCAAAGGCTTCTTTAAACCACCAGGTCTTCAAGCTCTTACGAAAGGAGGAGAGGGATGTGGCCTGACTTATTTCCCTACGAAAGGTGTTCCAGAGGCAGGGGGGCACCACTGAGAAGGCCCTCTCTCTCGTCCCCACCAACCGTGTTTGTGACGGTGGTGAGAGTGAGAGGAGGGCCTCTCCAGAAAATCTTAAAGTTCGCGCTGAAAAAATAATGAGTTAATAATACCCTTGAAAATATAATGTAACTAAATGTGAACTAAATTTAACCAGAAAAGATTTCCAAACTAAATTATGAAGTATGGAAAATGTTACTGGAATGTGATCCTGACAATATGAGATTTTTGGGAATTTTGTGGCTTAAGGACCTCTTCACATGGAGCAAATTTTGGCCACAAAGCCTGCCAGCTCCCATCTTATACCAGAGAAGTACTTCTGGGGTGGCTCCATGGCAAAAGTGCTGCAGAACTGGAGTCACCACCAAAAAAACATCGATGGTGGCAACACGGGAGACTACCTGTGGTCGCATTGCCCTCAGCGGAGGGCTCAACATTACCCTGTGCTCAGCATTACCCTCAGTCATAACTGAGGACGCTTCACCCCATGCAGGGTGTGAGGCGACAGGTTCCTACGTCCCTGGACGTGTACCGTCAGAATCACCATAATCCACAGGTATTCCAGAGGCATATCTGAAGAGGTCCTAAGACACTCTAATACCATCAAGATCACAACTTTAACGTCAACACAACTGTTACACTTTCAATACTAGATGAGCTACCTCAGCTGCTTCTTTGGAATCACCCTGAGAAATGAGAAGACAAATAGGGAAATGTTAATGACCAGAGGATCCCAAACTGTCCAGGCATAATGTATGCTCAGCCAGACCCGTAGCCAGGATTTTGATTCAGGGGATGCTGAGTTTGATTCGGGGGGGGGGGGGCTGAGTTTGATTCAAAGGGGGGGGGCTGAGGATCTACCCTAGCAAACCTTTTGTATCATTATCCCAATAGCCCCATGCATATGGGATATATTGAGCATGGTGATCAGATCATGATATGAATAAACATAACAGTTTAAATAATGTACTAGTAAGGCCTTCTCGCGGACCACCATGAGAATTTCGGGGGGGAGATGCCCCCCAAGCCCCCCCCCCCCCCCCCCCCGGCTACATGCCTGTGCTCAGCATTACCCTTCAGTCATAACTGAGGAAATAGTTTCAGCTACCTTTGGGGGCATCTTGGAACATATACCCTTAGGGTACTGGATTCTGTATTGTATTAAAAAAAGAACATTAGGGATATGTTATAAAGAGATAGCCAAGGAGGTAAAAACCAGCAATACAAAAAAGATGGTTTAAAAGATCTGCAAAAAATTGGCTCTACTACTCCATTCACCTCCCTCAGAATGAGAAGCCACAATAAAGAAGCATTCACTTGATACTTACTCCCTTGATACTCAGTGAGATAGACATATTGCACAATTTAAGACTTGTACTGAATACATGCTCTCTCAGCTTGCCTATTTACTTTTCTAAATTTTTGAAGACATTAAATAAAACAAATGTATAACTTGAGAGTACTCACGTCACATCTGCTGTGTGTTTGTGGGTAAAAGCAAGGAGGTCAGCTGCTCTTCCAGTTCCCTCATATACTACTACAGGGATGGCAGGTTTGTCCCTCACATATTCCCACACTGTCAAGATCTCGTTTGGACCACCTTCAACTACCAGCCCAACCAAAGGCACTCCTTGTCCCATTCCTGTTCAAAATTGCACAGTAGTATCAAATAGAGTTCCTTAGTACATATTATAATCTATTGCATCAGGGGAATGAAAAAAGGAATGAAAAAGAAGATGAAATACTCTAGGTGTTTGGGAAACAGGATTATAACATGCCTCAGTCATCAATCACATGGAAAATGCCATCCCAAGAACATATTCCTATACTTCTGAAAAAGGATAAAGCATATGGAACTGCAATTCCCATCAACATTCACTTTTGGCTGTGCTGGCTAGGGTTGATAGAGATCCAACTCAATTATACCTGAAGAGTCAAGGAGCCTACCCCAACCTCTGAAAGAAGTCTGGAAGAAACATCTTACAAAACAAATAGAGAACAAGCCTTACTTACTAGTGTGTATTTTCTGAAGAGACAGGTACTTTTCCAGATTTCTCCTCAGTTTCATCTCATTGCCATACTTGCCCACTGTGCCATCATCAACCAGTATAAAATGGGAATGCATGCTGTTGAGGGTACTCAGCTTGCTTAGAGGGTTGCCCAGCGTCTGATACAGGCAGACTACCTGAGAAGAATCAAATTTAAAGACAGCTCCTCCAAGACATGATGCATTGGCTTTAAGATTGTCCTTAAAATGGGTGGCATCATCATATGGTAATGTAAGACAGTTGCCTCCAGTAGTGGTCAATGGGAAATGTCAACCATATGTTGGAAGAGAGAGAGCTGCGTGTCTCACACCATGTCATGCACACCTAAGTGGCCTGCTGCCATTAGTAACAATGAAGGGGACCACACTGAACAACTGTGCTGAAGGAAATTGGTTTTCATGCACAGAATGTGTCAGGTGATATTGCAAAATGTGTTGGAGGACTCCAACTATCCAGGTTAGGAGAGGCTGGGGAAGAGGGTAGGACACTCACTATATTTAGAGTACAGTATGACCCCAATATCCACAGGGGATGTGTACATTGCTTGGCTATGAAGCATTTCTGGCCCAGGATTTCTGCTGGAGGACCTAGAAAATGCATATTTTGTCAGATGTGGATAAATGTAACAATGGATACCAGTGTCAGTAATACTTGTTAGTATCTAAGTAAAAACTGGATTGCAAATACTTTTTCTGTACTTTGAGGGAGTTTGTGAGTAAATCTTGCATTAAAACCCATAAGGATAAAAGCAGGACTCAGTACTGTAGGTAAATGTATTTGCTACTAAAAAAATGAATGATCTAACATGAAAATCAATGTTGAATATTCAGATTAAATCAAAAACATCAGTTTATGTTCACCTATCTTTACAATGCATCATAAGTGCCTTTTGAAACCATGCAACACAATAAACACAAATGGTAAATTGAGAGTTCCAATTCTGAAAATTGCATAGTAGTATTTCTAACTCATCTCCCTTCCTCCCAACATTTTACTGGGAATAGCTACTCACACATATATCCACCCCACCCCACCCCACCCCCCACCCCAAAAAACCCCTCAAAATTACTCTAGAGCAGGCATGCATTTTATACACTTGCAAACAATATCATGTCAATCTTATAACAGTCCTTTTCGCCAACCAATCTATAAATAGAAATGTGTGATTCCATCCGGACTATGAAATAACATATGCAAGAATCTGTTTTCTGTCTCTACTATTACCAGTCAATATATTTATGCAATTGTATGCATAAACTGTTTTATTGACATGCATACATGTGATGACAAATTATGCCAGCTTCTTATTGCCCTGGATGCACATTTGTCCCCATGGAACGATTGTTCATCATTGTACAGACATAAGGTTCAGGTCAAAGGGAGTTTTTAAATAAAAACAAAACAAAAAACATTCATTAACTCACATCTTTTCCAATGAGATCTCTTTGGTTCTCAATTATACCCCAAGGGGGGATTCCAACTGTGCAGATCTTACTTAAATACTGAGAAGCATGGATTTTCAATGCATCTCCCACATGCTTGGACACACCTTAGCAAATAACAACAAGAAACATGTCTTACATAAATTTTTTATTGATTTGATAATAACAAAAAAAAGCCAATAATCCTTACAGGGCTAACCATTCCAAGGATTTGTGATCTTCCGAGGACTAATTAGCACCAAGACTGGTATAATCTGGCAACATTAACACAGTTGGAAGAAATGTTTCCATTTAAATGGATTTTCAGAAGGACTTAGTCAGATCTGAGATGCAATTATCTTTATATACATCCTTTGGAAAAATTATAATACAGAAACACTTTCACAATTGTCTGACCAGCTTATGAACTACATAGACAAAAGAGAACAAGATTAACACATCCTTCTATCATTATATAGAGGATATATTGTTAGTACTGACTCTAAGACACTGTCCTGTATACTGATAGTTTACGTTGTGCATTTGTTACTGGAGAACAAAACTGATTTGACAACTACAGGATAACAAAATTGTTTGGACAACACTGACATACTCTATCTGTCAAGATTCAGAATCAAAAACTTCATCATAAAATTTGATGTGCAAGCTGTTATTCATGTGCAGCTCTGCCATACAGAAATAGAGACATTTGGTGTTTCAGATGGTTTGTCCCCAAAGAACAGAAACATTAGTATCTTATTATTAAAAGTCCACAACTTCCCAATGGGATAGTTGGGTCCAGTAACACATACGGTAATATGGTTCCAGGGTTTACTAGTGAACATAATTCCACTTCCAAATGACAAACTAAGTAACAGATGCATCCAAAATTAGTTTTTTTTTAAAATGAAGACTGTTGTTATAACAATGAAGTACAAGTTATACCCTATCAATGCTAACACACGAAAAATCAATGTTCAAAATAAGGTAGCTTCCCCTTCCATTTTACTAGGATACTACATTTTTAAAATGGCATTACTGTACCAGCATTGATGCCTTCTGTCAGGATCCATGCTCCTGTAGTCTCAGCAGCTTTGACTAAACCTTTGCTAAAAAGTTGCTTAAGTTTAGCAGGAAGTTTGAAGTTCTGGATGCCACCGTGAACAGAAATGACCAGTTTTGGCAATTCCATCTGCCATTCTTTTACCATGAGCTGCAATAACTGGTCCAATTTTGTATCACAGGAAGCTCTGATGTACTGGAGGATTGTTAAAAGATACATCCACATAGAGAGAAAATAAATATTTCTGTTTGAGGCACATTTGATAAATAAATGTCATAGCTCACATAATGTAAGATTGCTTTACACAAATAACAGGTTTAATAAGATAAGCAGGAATAGAATTTTGTTTATTATGGTTTTTTGTTACAGGTGTCACTTAATTTTGGCACAGTCTAAATATTTTCCATCTCCAAAGCTACCACCCCAGCATCCCCTGGTCAGTGGTTATGTATAGGTCAACCATGGATAACTGTGGAAAGCTAACTTGGAGGAGAACATGGAGGGCTGCACCTCCATTGCATTCCTTATGGGAAAAGGAAGATGTTTTTGACACAAAATGCCCACAGGTATCTTCCAGAGATAAACATGCCCTGTCTTTGCCCTCCTGGGCCATTTTTAAATGATGAATAGGTCTCTCTCTAGAGTGTGTGGAAAAGACTCTCATGCCCTCTAAAAGAGCATTTAGGGCAGAAAGCTTTTTTAAAATGATGCCAGAACCCCTAGGAGACATTAAAGAAACTGCCCTTGGGAACATAATTTGCTCATGATGATAGTTGATGATAATTGTAGTCTTATTCTCAAGGGTGGGATGTATCCTAACATTTCCAGAGTTTGTGGCTAATTGACATGAATCTGTTTCATTCCTTAGATCAAAAGCCTTACCACATTCATTCATTTATTCGTTTAGTATATTTATATCTTGCCTTTCTCGACCCTGAGGGGGACTCAAGGTGCTTATAGCATAGGCAATAATTCAATGCCTTAAAAACAATATACATCCAATATACAATTAAATAAGCATCTCAATTTATAATTTAAATGAGATTAAGAACATTAAAATGCATAAAACACTGCAATTACAACTATAAAACCACATTATACTGTATGTATGTATGTATGCACGCATATGCGCCCGCGCAGACACACACACACACATGATCTGAAAGGAAACAGCATTATGTTTGGATGATGTGAAAGGTAATAAGATTCCTACCTGTAGTGTCTGACTAATTTTTGCTTCTGTTTGATATTGCACAAATTAGATTATGAGAAATTATGTAGAAGTATCTTGTTCCATTGAAAATCTAACTCCAGTAGTTTGATGTTTAGCTCAGGTATTCATTATCTGAATACCTGAGCTAAACATATTTTGCATTCTAATATTACAAAACTGAGAAAGTTAATGAATGACACTGAAATCCCATTTTAAAATGTATGCAAACCTTGGAATGGTAAGTATGATCACCATCTTGAAAATTGATAGTGCCAAATGCATCCGTTGGGCTCGTCTTTGTATCCTTTTGGACAGACCATTTTTCATTCTCTTTTCCCTTCTCAGACTGAAACAGAGGCCAACTATAATCTATTCCTGAATGGTCACCAATTAGCCGGCCACAACAACATCTTTAACAAAAAGTCAAATAAAACAGTATCAGACTAAAAAATAGTTTTATTCTGAACTCTTGAACATATAAACAGCCATCTTAATTCTCGTATGCCATTTCCTATCCAAAGTGAAATTTCTCGTTATTTTTTATTTTTATTAATAAAGGAATATTATATAATAATTGCTTTTTCAATTACAGTATGATGTCCTATGCATTCTGTATACATGCTTTCACAGTCTAAAACATCCCCTCCCCCAGAAGTGCTTGTAAGCCTCTCTAGGTCCTCCACTGCACTTCTATGCTTCTAGCCCAAGTATAGTCAAAATATAGTGTTTGCTGTTTTCTATAGTTTCAGTTACCCATGAAGGTTTTTTCAAATGTTGAGATGATACTGTAGCAATAGTCAGTGCCCACTCCTTCCTTTACAAAAAAAAAAAAACAGTCTCCATTTTAATATAAACTTACCGGATTAAGTTCTGACATACTTGACACCCTGCAGGACACCTACAGGAAAATGGGTTTAAAATTAGTATATAGGTAACAAGTGATCCATGTTCTATGGTCAAAGTTCATAAAACATTTTGATGTGTAAATTATTACAGTACCTGAAATTCAAGGCATTAAGTTGTGTTGCAGATTTCTTGTCCAAGTATTGTCAGCCTTTAATATTGCACCAATATCACAAGATTACACCATACTTTTCTGTTCCTTTGTAGGGGATAACAATTTTATTTGGTAGGCAATGCCCCCAAAAATGCCAGGCTCACAACTATACACCTGCATTTGCCTCCCCTAGAATTTGGATCATATTATCAGTAACTGTCTTACATGTAAGGAGTAATAGCTACTGCTTTTATGTTAAACTGCTGTTCTAATACTAATATTGCAGTGTATATTAGCAATATGTTTTTTTAAATAAAATGTGTATTACTGCTTGTATAATTAACCAAAATAAAGAAAAAGAAACAAAGTACCTGTGAGGATCTTTGGAACTTGGTACAATTCTTGCACACTCTCTTTTATTGAAGACTCCCTCAATCCACGATTTCTGGGACTGAACAGAAATATTACATCTCAAATATTATCTATACTTTAATAGATAAAAGCAACTGTTCAATTATATTTGATTATAGGAACCCTCTTGTGATGTTCACATCCAGACTTGAATGCATGACATTGATTTACACACCTTTTTTTTCTTAAGTAAGTTTAATCTGTGCTGATTTTATTTTGTTTCTAAAACTGTCTTCCACTAATATCTGCTTGGGAAAGACTGAATTGATCAAACTCATCACTGCAATATGATGATCTAGCAACTACCTCTGCCCACAGATACAGATTTGTGGGCGGAGGTGATCAATACCTATGAGTGGTCATGGTCAGATTACTTTCTGGTCAGAGCAAGTATAGCTACAACCTGCCCCTGCAGGGGTAGAGGACCTATTAAAATGGTCCATCTTCAAATGCTAATGGATCCCTTGAGAGTTCAGGAGGCCTTCGTGAGTTTTATGGTTGACATCACTAAGAATCTCTTTGAATCCCTACTCAATATTGGAATAAAAATCTAGCCGGTCTTGACAAGATTGCTCCCAAATGTCCTCTCTGACCTTTTACAAATCAGGCTCCTGGTATACATAGACCCTCAGGGAAATGAAATGGGAAAGATGGCAAGTAGAACACAGATGGTGGAAAATTCAACTTTTATGCGACGAGACATGGTATAAAGGCCACCTTTGCTCCTATAAGGTGGCAACATGTGCAACCAAGAAAGTTTTCTTCTCTGGACAAATTGCATTTGAAGATTCACATCTAGCTGAGCTGTTCAAAGTTCAGAGTAGTGAGAGGTTTAACTCAGATACCCTCCCCTCTGAACCCATTATTAGAATTTTAGTAGTTCACAGTGATGCTTTTAACAAACATCCTGCAGATAAAATCTCTCGCATAATTTATTTATTTACATTTATATGCTGCCCTTCTCACCCTGAAGGGGACTCAGAGCGGCTTACAAGATATATATGCATACAATATATTATATTATTAGCATAGTACAATATCAGTATTATATATTACTATATTGTACTATACCATTATATTGTAGTACTATTAGTAATATTACATGTAATATACAATATATAATTATAATATTGTATTATTATTATTATTAGTGTTATATTGTATTACATTATAATATTATAATTATATGTATATAAAATATATTACATTACATTACATTATATTATTAGCATAGCACAGGAGGCAAGGTGGAACTGTCTTCTGCCCCCCCCCCCTCACTCTGGCCCAGAGCAGCAGTTGGTGCTGGGCGGAGGGGCCCATAAGAGCTTACTTAGAAACTGTCATTGGAGCAGAAGGCAACAATAAGATGTCCAGCAACTCTGTGAGTGGGATTACACTGGATCAGTTTCAATTGGTAAATATGTTTGATGTGGACAAGGTACTGGGGTGAGTAAAGAGAACAACCTGTTTTCTTGATCCTTTCCCTTCTTGGCAGTCCAGGGAGGAGATGCAATTCTATCTCAAATACAACAAATTATTAAGGCATCCCTCGGGAGGTGGGGGGGATTTTCCATCCTATTTTTAAAAAGGAGTAGTTAGAACGGTGTTGCCTCCATTTCTGCCCATCCATTCAAAAAGTTCAGAAACAGTGTCATGGCAAAGAGGGTAAAGGGGCTTCAAAGCTTCTTTTAGGTTCTCCCACCATGCAGCAAGCTTTTGCCTCTCACCATTCTACTTAGCAAAGGGGATGGTTAAGGTATTTTTAATATATGTATTTTACAGAATGTTAAACTATGAATGTCAGCCCAGGCTTCTTGGTTTGATTTTTGCACTAAAATATCTGGACTGATACAGTATGTGAGTATATAGGGTTAAGTATTCAACACAGGAAATGGGGTCAATCATATAGCAGTTAATCCCCATAAAAAACGGTGGTTGTTATGTATCAATGCAGTGGCATTCATTTTGGTGTATGTATGAATAATGCTTGAGCTGTTTATTTACATGAAATGTTTTAAAATCCTAGATTGCACCTACTGACAGCACATATAATATACAGAGTAAATGTTGCTGTTGGCTGCTGTATTTGTTGCTGCAACTCTCAGGAGTCTCACCTCTGCAGGAGTCTACTGTATACCATGCAACTGTGGATAAGTCTACATAGGGACCACCAAACGCAGCATTGCCCAAACACAAATCAAGGAACATGAAAGGCACTGCAGACTACTTCAACCAGAGAAGTTAGCCATAGCAGAGCACCTGATGAATCAACCTGGACACAGCATATTGAGAACAAAGAAATGCTGGAGCACTCTAACCACCACCATGTCAGACTACACAGAGAAGCCACTGAAATCCACAAGCATGAGGACAATTTCAACAGAAAGGAGGAAACTGGGGTGCACCAGGAATGGGCAAACTGCATGATCTACACTATAGAATAAATGCAGTGGGTTGCAGTGAATTTTCCAGGCTGTATGGCCATGTTCCTGAAGCATTCTCTCGTGACGTTTCATCTACATCTATGGCAGGCATCCTCAGAGGTTGAGAGGTCTGTTGGAAACTAGGCAAGGGAGGTTTATATATCTGTGGAATGTCCGGGGTGGGAGAAAGAACTCGTCTGCTGGAGGTAAGTGTGAATGTGAATGACCTTGATCAGCATTTAATGGCCTTGCCGCTTCAAAGCCTGGCTGGTTGCTGCCTGGGGGAATCCTTTGTTGGGAGGTGTTAGCTGGCCCTGATTGATTCTTATCTGGTTCAACTGCCTTTTTATTGTTGCTCTTTATTTACTGTCCTGATTTTAATTCAACCTGAGAAATCAGTCACAGAAGAGCACCTGATGAACCAACCCGGACACAGCATATTATTTGAGAACACAGAAATCCTGGACCACTCTAATACCTACTTACCATGTCAGACTACACAGAAAAGCCATTGAAATCCACAAGCATGTGGACAATTTCAACAGAAAGGAGGAAAGCATGAAAATGAACAAAATCAGGCTGCCAGTATTTTAAAAACTCCAAAATCATAACAGTAAATCAAGAAAAACAGGGGAATTCCAGACAAGAAACAATCAGGGCCAGCTAATCACCTCCCAACAAAGAAGAAAAGGCTGTGAGGAGATATGATAGCCATGTATAAATATGTGAGAGGAAGTCACAGGGAGGAGGGAGCAAGCTTGTTTTCTGCTTCCCTGGAGACTAGGACGCGGAACAATGGCTTCAAACTACAAGGAGATTCCATCTGAACATGAGGAAGAACTTCCTGACTGTGAGAGACGTTCAGCTGCGGAACTCTCTGCCCTGGAGTGTAGTGGAGGGTCCTGCTTTGGAGGTTTTTAAACAGAGGCTAGATGGCCTTCTGTCAGGGGTGCTTTGAATGCAATATTCCTGCTTCTTGGCAGGGGGTTGGACTGGATGGTCCATGAGGTCTCTTCCAACTCTATGATTCTATGATTCCCCCAGGCAGTACGAAGCCAGACCTTGAAACTGCTAGGTCATTAAATGCTAATCAAGGTGGCCAATTGCAACATTCACACCTACCTCAAACAGACAAGTGTTCTGTCTCCTACCCTGGACATTGCAGAGATATATAAACCCAATTTTCCTAGTTTCCAACAGACCCTACAACCTCTGAGGATGCCTGCCGTAGATGTGCGCGAACATCAGGAGAGAATGCTTCTGGAACAGAGACATACAGCCTTAAAAACTCACAACAATCCAGCGATTCCTGCTATAATAGCCTTCGACAATACATAGCTCTCAGGGTTGTTTTTAACAGCCATACATTTCTGTTCTTTCATATCATTTAGTGGCAATTCCAAACACCAACAGCAGTATTTTATTCTCAACCAGCGATTGATTTATTATTTATTTTTTAAAAAAAGAAAAATCAAGAATAGATTGCAATGAAATAGCTATATAGTTCTATCCATGTGCTCCTTGGCTTTTCTTTCTCCTCATTGCAGGACAAAAAGATTTCACTAAGATTTTTAATACCTATTTCTTAAAAGAAAGAAAGAGTGTCTATGCTAGAGCTCAACCTCCAGAGCACTGAGCAAAAATACTGAAGAGGTTGTGATGCATTGCTGAGGCGGTTTGGGCCCATTGGCTTTTTGTATTATTGATATTGTTGATGTTTTTGATTATGATGTTTTTGGTTATTGCTAGATTGATATTTTAGATTGTGTCTTGAATTTTGAACCTTGTTCTTTCTATGTTGTACACCGCTGTGAATCGCCCCCGGGATGAGAACAGCGGTATATAAGCAAAGTAAGTAAATAAATAAATAAATAAATAAATAAATCCTGAAAATTGTCTTCCAATTTTTTTTTAAATGATAAGGCTGAGGGCGGAAGAGGTCTTCTGGGAAGTCCCAAGGAATGTATGTAGCTCAAGGCTGCACTTTGCCCATGTCTGACCTAAGCAAACAGACATGGGGGGGGGGGGCGGGGGGGGGACACAGTAAGGGAAGGAAATAGGCAGATAATTACAATCTCAGATTGTTAAAAGAAGGAAAAAGAAATATGCTATGGGATACTTCCTGAAAAGTCCGGTAATTGGAACTGACTCTCATATATACTGTGAAGGATTTCTACATGTAAGGACATTTATACATGTAGATGAGCATTTGGCCTGGCAAACAATTGAGTTCACCCAGACACAGGCTTGCCATTTCATTTTCTCCTTCTAAAAACGAAGCTTTAGCCTTCAAGGGTTGTGAGGGCAGAATGGGGGGGAGGGGGAGGCCACTACAAACAAGCAAGTTGTGTGTACTAAACCTCAGTGTTCTGCCCTAACTTGATCTCTTTGTTAAAGCTTTCCGTGTTAAACCATACAAGCAATTGACACAAAGCTGATCCTTGACCGGAAGTCAGGCCTTTTTGATGCAGTACACTAATTAAACACTGATAAGCAGGGGATAACAGGTATTTAGTGGCTCTGGAATTAATTTTGCTAAATTCATGTCTGCACGAGCATGGACAGAAATAAGCATTGTTCAGAAAATGACTGGTGAACTGGAAAAAACTAGGTTACA